GAGTGCACTTGCTTTACATGTTTCCTTACAAGTAGGCATTTGCGGATTATGCTCGAAAAGGTGGCAGATTCTGCTCGAAAAGCAGTGAAATTGGCAGAACCATACAAACCTTACGGCGGGCAATTCCTCGAATTCTGCTCCATTTCTTTATCCACATACCAAACATGCATGAAACTTACCAGAAAAAGTACCGAATTCTGCCAATGTTTCTGCCGGCATTATCCGCATATGCCTACCTACAAGAGATGGTTTGCTGTTATAAACGAAAACTATTTGCAGCAAAGGGTCATTACATTTTTGTGTGGGTTCAAGCAGGGACATGGACAATAGTTTGTAAGTATAGTACTGTATTTCAGCGAATATAAAGCCATGGCGTTATAGGTGAAACATCGCTGTTTTGGACCAAATGTTTGGAGAAAATAGCCTCGGTTTTAAAGGGGAAGTTAAGGCAAAAATTAAAATTTCACCAGTTGTAGTCTTCGGGGTGCTGAGTCGAATGGTCTTGGTCCGAGAAAGCCGAGACGCTCCCTTCCTACTTGAATCTCAATCGAACTTGCGCACTCCCACCGAAACTGGGTGACTGCGCCCTACTAGCTGGGGATTTGTATGCAAAATGTCACTAAAAGCGCCATTTCGTTCTTATAAAAGCACGGATGACCGCGATTGGCCCATATGTTGTAGTCTTTTGGACGCTGAGTCGACTGGTTTTGGTCCGAAAAGGCTGCGATGCAGCGTTCCTCCTTTATTCCCAATCGAACATGGTGGAACAAGTGGTCACGTGCTCCTGGGTGCCCAAACCACCTGGTCACCATGCCAGCAGGCGACAACTTTCACACCAAGGTTCAACTCGAGTGACAGGACTGCACCCAAAAAAGGTCAAACAGGCTAGTAAGTTGTACCCTGCAGGCACAGTGACCAGGTGACTGGTGTACGCAGGAGCACGTGACCGCTTGAACGCTGCATCGCAGCCTTTTCGGACCAAAACCAGTCGAATCAGCGTCCACAAGACTACAACATATGGGCCAATCGCGGTCATCCGTGCTTTTATAAGAACGAAATGGCGCTTTTAGTGACATTTTGCATACAAATCCCCATCTAGTAGGGCGCAGTCACCCAGTTTCGGTGGAAGTGCGCGAGTTCGATTGGGATTCAAGTAGGAAGGGAGCGTCTCAGCTTTCTCGGACCAAGACCATTCGACTCAGCACCCCGAAGACTACAACTGGTGAAATTTTAATTTTTGCCTTAACTTCCCCTTTAACGCCATGGCACTAAAAGTGAGAGACGCTTACAAGAAAAAATCGGCAGAGTATGAACTTCGAGTACTCGTATGGTGCCGTTGCAAGTTCATGTCGAGCATCCATATACTTTCAATTTTCCCTGAAAATTTCAAATTGTGAACCTATTGTGTACAAGGTGGCATACATACTTGTGTGAAGGTGCGGTGGCGGTATGGCATCTGACAGTGGGGATGGGTACATGTAGAGCAGGGCCGTAGCAGGCGGTCCGGCAGGTCCAGCAGCTGCCGGACCAATATTCGACCAAAAAAAAAAAAAAAAAAAAAAAAAAAAAAAAAAAAAAAGCGGAACCTCACAGATGTGAGCAGCTCAGGATGTCCACCCGGTACCATTGATGAGGATGTGTGCAATAAGTAGCATAGAGGTAGTACATAGTAATGCCGGTAGTACATGTAGAGGTACATGTCATCAGGAGTTATGACCCTGCTGAAGATCATGTGGACAGTCATGCCTGTGAATACTCCTACTCTGTACTTCCTGAAATGATTGTATTGATTATTTTCTTCCTCCAATTCTTTCTAGATAGAGTTTGCACCAAAGATTTTCCATTGCAATATCCTTTCTCCTCCTTCAAAGGTCCATTCTGGTTCTTTTATCACATGCATTTAAATACGGTTGCTATGCCTTCATAGGCTTCAACAAGTTCTGTTTGGACGGACACAACATGCTGATGCCCTTTTTCCTGACTCATGCCGAACGTCTTTCTTCCTTTTCTCGCCCTATGTCACTCTGCATGGTCACGATTACATGCATGTACATGTACAATCAAGAGTACACGGAGGGTTATGTACTCTTGATACAATGTATGTACTTCGAAGCAGGGAGCCCTACACATACCGGGAGGTGACACGGGCACAGAAACTGTGCATGACGTTTGACTCATTCAAAAAAAAAGTAGCTGAGAGTTCTCATCACACATCAGTACAGATGTTGATTGAGATATTGATGAAAAGACTTCTAAAGAGTTAATCGATGCTGAATATCGTTTGTGAGAGTCATCTTATCATAATGCTGGGTTGCTGTGACACTTCAATATGGCCCTGAGTGGTCATTGACGCAAGTAGGATGGCAGCCAATGTTTCCCAGGCTCAGCGTTGTGTATGTGTAGGGCTCTCTGCTTCGAAGTACAATCATGTACATTTTGTACATGTACCGGCATATGTATGAGTGTGGGCTCGGGGGGGGGGGGGGGGGGGGGGGGGAGTATCGAAGTCGGATCTTGCCGGACCAACCAAAATGTGGCTGCTACGGGCCTGTAGAGAGAATCACCGCTACTGTAGGTTCACTGAAAGAATTGAACTCATCTTTAACGCCGGATGCAACTAACTACTTCCTCCGCATTGAATTTTGTTTACTTATAACGCCATGGCTTTATAAGTGAGGGTGGCCTTATATTCGGATATAACGCCATGGCGTTATATGCGCGGAAATACGGTATCACGATTATCGCTACTTGAAGTATAATTATGGGAGTTCGTTATAAGTGGAGTCGACTGTATAGCTTTTATTCCTGTCTACCCTGCTCTACACGTCGGCCCATCTTCCCTTACCTTCCAGGTATGGCAGGAGTTGACACGCCAGATCTGTGCCCAGTGCCTGCGCCCAGCGTCCACTTGAAGTTGAACTGGCGGTCGTAGCCAGTCCACTGCTGGCGACAAGCTCCGTAATCCGACTCCGATCATCTACGTCATCGTCTTCGTCCTGGCAATCCTCAGCACCAGCCATTCCAGCCGTTGCTGCAGCCGGCCGTGGAGGCTTGTTCCTTCTTGCACGGACGCCGCATGCCGGCTGATTTTCACCGGCCCACTGCATTTCATCAGATGCCATCGCACCTGATCACAGCAGTTCGAGCCTTTTTTTCTTCGTTTCGAGCTACCGCTCAACGAATGATCCTTGGTCCTACAATGCGTGTAAGGTTCCAGTAAATGGCTTTCTCCTGCTGAAGACATCAACCGACGACTTTTATTGTGATGACCGTCAATCGACGGCAAGGCGCTCAGCTGATCAGGGACACAAGCCAACCAAACCTTTCTGAACGTTTCTTGAAGAAAGTGCCGGTTGCGTCTTGGTTGCGTCTTGGTAACAATCCGTGAGCCGTGTGATATCCGTATGCGCAAAGCCTAAACTAAAGGTCGAGGGTGATCCTTCAGTGGTGGTGACGAACAATGTTACATTCACCCTGCGATCGAGGCCTCCTACTAGTAGATCCTGCTGCCTTTTCTACACTCAATGCATAGCGCAGACTCGCAAAAACACTGTCCGATACGCTGAGCTGTTCATACTACCGCCGGTATTTCAGTTCGAAGCTTCCTCTACCAGGCGTTTGCCTTGGAAGCGTTCGATTTCGACAAACTTGATCCCGTCCTAGCCCCTAGGTTTGCTTCGAGTAGCGTGGGGTCTGGCCAGTCGCAACACCACATCCAGTAGGCAGTTGCGAGTGTGGTGATTCGTTGAGATCAGGGAGTGGTAAGACTTGTATTACAACTCCTTGGTTGAGAATTTATTTGGAATTCCTGCAAACCAGATGCGCGAACTAGTTACTTCCGGGCAGAGTGCGTGAGTTCACGGAAAGGACACTTGAAGTTGAACTTCACAGAACTGCATTGCGATTTGCGCCAAGACTGCAAAGTAGATCTACAAGAGAGCGCGCGAGAGTCCACAAGTAAAGCAACAGATGGCAATGCTAGCCCCCGACTCCTGGGCCAGAGACTTGCCGATGGACTGGCTGTCCGTTGATACTGATTATGAGCGTTGTTTTCGCACGCAGCACGGACTGTCCAATCCATCTAGATCTGCTCATCACAGTTTCTCTCGCCTGCATGCGCGTACCGGTCACGGTATACCACAATACCAGGGAGTCGTAAAAGCCCTTTTAGTTTTACGACTCCCTGGTATACCGTCTCACATGAGTCTACTCATCTCAGATATACCATGCATGGCCAGTCCACCGGAAGGTCGATCCCGCTTCCTGCCAGAGTCGTATAATGAAGTCGCGGATTCTGTTTCCTTCCTCCTAGTCGCCTACAACAATAGAAGTCCAACACATGCACACTCTATCTACAAGCTGTAGTTGTGGACACGTATCATAACATAACACACTCCGCATCCAACACTCGTAGATCTACATTGTACTAGCTCGATCTAGGCCTTGACGGATTATGCTAGCATAATTTTTCGCATAATTCCTACCAAAATCGAATAATCGCATAATTCGAGGCAAATTGCATACGAATCGCATAAATTGGAATAATCCGCCTGTTCGCATCAAATTCCATACAGTTGTACAATGTTCTACAAGTACAAGTACAAGTAGATGCACCAGGAAGTCGTAGGTTTACGACTCCCTTGATAACATGTCCAGTCCACTACTATCAGTGACGGTCGTAGCTAGGTCGGGCGGTGCGTTGACCCCGTTGAACTTTTGCTACTTCATGTAGATCTACAGTACAACGCCCTCTACAAAAATTCCCCTGTTATTTTGCACAGAACCATCACAATATTAGCAGCATATGTGAGCATAATGCGGCATAATATGATAACTTTTAGCATAAAAATAGCATAATTCTGCAATTTTTTCAGCAATGCGAAAAGCATAATTTCACAAAAATATTAGCATAATCCGTCAAGGCCTAGCTAGATCTACATCATGTGAATAGCGTGTGGATGTGCTCTTCTTCTTTGTACCGGTACGCGGTAAGTAACAGTTTCGTGGTAGAGATTCACCGTCTGACCGTCTGTTCTCGTTTGTAGTTTTGGTGAATATCGATGTCGTTCGTTTGAAGCGCCGCCTCGCGGAGCCTGGCCCTGGGCTGGGCAGGGGACATTTGCTGGATAGGCCGGCCTGGCTGCTCTGGCTGCTCAGCCGGTGCTGATCGCTGATCGCTTGAAAATACAGCCTTTACAGGTACGAGTCGTCTCGTACTCGTGGATAATCTACACTACACAGTGCATGGTGTACATGACTGATGTGACCTGTCCACCATGGTCCACACTGCACTGCCTTTCCGATGGGGCCGTGGGGATGGACATCGCGTTGCCGTCGGAGATAGTTGCTACATACATGACCGGTACGACCAGATCGAGCGTGCCGGCGCCACGCACTGCGCATGCGCTGCACGCGCACGTGGGAGGGGGTTGACCAATTTCGTTTCAGAAAACATTGATACATGTGCATGCCGATAGGAGCAGTTACACACTTGCAACTTTTGTTGTATTAAGGGGGGACGGGAGGTTCAGAGGGTCAAAAAATGAATTTCTGAGTTTTGAACTTTTTGCTATGGAATCTTGTCTTAGGATATTTGAAGCGCCAGAATTTCAAATTTGAGCGTAATCGGTTTAGTAGAAGTGGAGTTATGAGCTAAAGTATGTCGAGATAAATTTTAAATGTAAATATTCAAATGTTTACAATTGCCTAAATTTGTGATTTTGGTTTAGTCCAAAATCAAGCGTTTTTGATTCAACTTCGCCAGGTAAGCGACCCTGGCTTCTGTTTTTGTAGTCATGGAGAGCTGCCACGTGCTTCCTTGATCGCGTACGCGCGTATGACGTTCTACAGCGCCACGACGCCCACGCGAAGGAAAAAATCTTTGTTTTTTTGTTTGTGATCGTGAAAGTGAACAATTTTACATGGGGAACCGAAAGAGAAGCTCCAGCAGCTCTGGAAGTGGCCATAGGAGGAAGAAAAGGAGATACTACGCCCCAAAGCAGTCAAGCTCTGTACCAGTTGTGGAAGAAGGCACCGTTGAAGCGGCGCAGAGCGCTTCCTCTCGGAAGATTTCGTCGAGGCCAAAATGGCTTAGTGATATTATTATGATCATGGAATTTGAATCTGAGCTTGTGTGCTCGAGTGACAGTGATTCAGACGAGTCGTCCAGTGATAGCTGCCAGGAGTATGATGATGATGCGTTCTATCCTGATGTTGAGGAGTCTGTCTCTGGCTACAAGATCGTGGATTTACAGTGTCTCCAGGAACTGATGGATCAATTAAATTTACTGTCTGTAGGAAGTGCACGAAGGGAGACATGATCGTCAGTAACTGTCATGACACTGGACTTGGATCGACCCTGCGACTTCAATGCGCTTTGTGTGGACACAGTGGAAGTACGTCTCTGAGCAAGAAAATTTGCAGGAGCTATGATCTGAATTGACGATCTGTACTGGCGATGCGATGCATTGGACGTGGCCATGGTGGACTCCGAAAGTTTTGCGGCGTAATGAATTTTCCTGCTCCTGTAACGGAGAAAGCGTACCGCAGCCACCAGGAAGTTGTCCTTGCTGCAGCCGTAAAGCTAGCTGAAACTGACATGGTTCAATCCGCAGCTGAGTTGCGTGCCATGACAGATTCCACCCACGTCGCAGTGACGTTCGACGGCACTTGGATGCGCAGGGGATAATTCGTCGCTGTATGGTGTGTTCGCGTACATCTCCTTCCAGAGCGGCCGTGTACTGGACATCACAGTGAAGGGTCGATACTGTCACGAATGTAAGATCTGGACTGAGAAGAAGCGAAGTGGTGCAATCACGGAGGAAGCCTTTTCAACCTGGCTGGATAATCACAAGTGCAGCATAAACACAGCGGCATCTGCACCCGGTATGGAGAGTGAAGCTGCGTGCGATATTTGGCAGCGGTCTGTGGGCACACGCGGAGGCCTCATAAGAACCCTCTCCCAAAGGCTGTGTTCGAAGTCGTGAAGCCCATCTACATGCAGCTGTCCGAACGAAGTCTGCTGGAGCGCTGCCAGATGGGTGCAACGCAGAATGCGAACGAGTCGTTCAACAACGTCATTTGGAGAATGTGTCCGAAGGAAGGCTTCTGCTCCGTCGACACCGTTCAGCTGGCAAGTAGTTTGGCAGTGCTCAACTTCAACAACGGCGCTATCACCTTGCTCAGTGTGCTGAAAGAGTGTGGATGCATTGATGGCAATCACACGAAGGCAGCGCTTGAGCTAGAAGACCAATGGCGTGTGAAGAAGTCCCTCCGCAAGTCATCAGCAGTGGAAAAGGAGAGCAGGAAAAGGAGAAGGAGGCAGAGGAAAGGCTGGGAGGAGACCACTATTGAGAAAGAGGGCACTACATATGACAAAGGTGGTTTCTGAATGGCAACTTCAGGTCAGATATGTGAAAATATTTCAGTAGCACTCCACTATCAGTCCTTTTTATGTAATTTTTAGGTGCATTTTTCACTGATTTTAGGGGTATTATGGGCACTCCGCGCAGTTTTGTAGAAATGCTGTACATATCTTGTATGTAAAAGTATATATTTTCTGGTTCTGTACGGTCCATTCTAGATCCGTTGCCTTCTTAGGACACAAGATCTTCTGTTAGAAACAAAATAATGGACCTTGAACTTCAGTCAAGTTATCTTGCGCACGTGCATTGTTATTTCAAGGCTGCAGTGGCACACCATGGGAACTGTAATCGCATTGTGCTTAGGCAACAGCCCTAGCCCCTTGGTACCTGATCATTTTGCAGTGTTATGTGTTTATCTTCAAGTGACCATGTTTGAGAAAAACTGCGCAGAAATCATGCCCGGCTATCGCATTTTTTCCAAAATTGCTTTCCTGCATTTCTCCATGATACCAGTATACTTTCCACAGTTCTTGGTTGCAATGTCGTCAGTGGATGTCAAGGAACATATACTGAAAATTTGAAGGAATTCTGATGTTTGAGTGCTGAGATTCAAGCGAATTTATAACGGGCACCGCAATATGGCCAGCGAACCTCCCGTCCCCCCTTAATATTATGTATAATTATTATAATATAAGGCCAAACTAAAGAAGGTGTGTGGTTCGACTAACATGGACATTTTTTTACGGGCGGGCGGGCGGATTTTTTTTTTTTTAATATTTTTTAGTACATGTAAATACACTGTATACCAGGGAGTCGTATTTTACGACTCCCTGGTTTGGCCTAACCAGTTGATTATGGGAAATATAAACCTGTGTACAAACCGAGGCGAAGCCGAGGTTTGTATATTGGTTTATATTTCCCATATAATCAACTGAGTAGGTTATAATTATGCTTATACTGAGCTGATATACAGCATGTATATGTCAAACTTTTTTTACGTTCTGAGGGGAGGGAGGGCCAGGGGTTGGGTCTAAACTAAAATAATTCGTTTGGTGAAAAACGTTCGATAATTACGGATGGCCCCTAACTTGGGCCTAAGACAATAAAAATTTAAAATAATGTTTTTCGTGGTTCTCAAAACATTCACAATAATTATTTATTGTGCCACCGAGAAGTGAGATCATGCACTGCGCTGGCACTCGCTATCGATCTCAGCTTGCGCTTACGACAGGAGTGCTCCACAGGCACATGCACAGGTACCTCGATCTTCGCTCGTCGCGGCCCTTCTCCAGAGTGCCGCAGCGCAGGGACGTCATTGCATGGCACAATACTTTTATTGAGCTTTCTTTACAGGAGTACTGATCCATGGCGGAACAACAGGGCGGCAGCAGCAGCAGCTGCTACGATGTGGCCGTCATCGGTGCGGGTATCGAGGGCAGCGCTACCGCCTGGTACTTGAGTAAACACTGTGGCCAGAATGTCGCCCTGCTCGATCAGGTAGGCGAAAAATTCTGAAAAAAAACCAAACAAGAACACTGATAACGTTAGCACATGTCCACTATCATGGATCTGTCGAGTTGGATGTCAATGTCAGGAGGGATAAGAAAGTGTGGAAAAAAGAGAATATGAGTTGACACTGGCGAACAAGTTGCTGGCGACAGCATTAGCGCATAATCTGTGTGTGTGTGTGTGTGTGTGTGTGTGTGCGTGTGTGTGTGTTTGTGGTGTGTATATAATTATGTTTGTGTGTGCTTGCGCATGTGCAAACATGTGTCCGTGTGTGTGTGTGTGTGTGCGCACACGCGCATGTGTGTATGTATGTGCGCATGCATGCGTGTGTGTGTGTGTGTGTGTATGCACGCACGCACGCGTGTGTGTGCGTCTGTGTCATATGCGCATACCGTTGTCGCCGGGTGTCCGCGTGTTCTTGTGTGCAGTTTTCACTGAATCACACACGCGGCAGCTCTCACGGCCCGACCAGGATAACACGTTACCTATACCCGCAGAAGTTCTACGTCGACATGATGCTGACGGCGTATCCAATGTGGGATGAGTTGGCACAGGACTCGTCACGCACCCTCGTACGGTAAGGCTATGCCGCAAAAGCCATATTATTATATATATAACGAAGTGCTTATTCTAACAAATTAACGAGGAGAAATCTGTCGTTAAAATAGAAAACGTTAGACAGAAATCTATACATATTGTTGCTATCGAGCGTTGAGAATGAGTGAGAATCGTTACCTTTGATACACGTAAACTGGTCAATTTTAGGAAATCGTTTACCAGAGGTCTAGCCAGGATTTTATGCCAGCCGGCCAACACGTTCTAGTTAAAATGCATCGTTCTGGGGGCTGCGCCCCCAGACCCCGCCATCAGTCATGTATCTACACAGACACACACACACACACACACACACACACACACACACACACACACACACACACACACACACACACACACACACACACACACACACCACTACAAATCTTTCATTGCAGCTTGCATCTCCTTTCGCTTCGTCCAATTATGGGCATTCATGAGGCAGTTGTGAACGTGAATGTGATTATAGGTAAATTAACAAAATATGAAAAAGGAAGCAAACAGCTACATGAGCATGGATCATGTGTTCACCAAGGTCATGTATGCATGCAGTGTACATAATCATTGGTCATCTGACAAGACCAAGCCTAGCCACAGCCATGTACACCACCAGAAGCAGCGAACCATGACCCAACCTGTTACATTTTACTGACGTACTCAAGTGCATACTCAAGTGCATTTGAGCTTGAGTGAAGAGCACTGAGCCTGAGTAGCCAGTGCTACGTACTGTACTGTACTGTACATAGTACTACATACCTACACCTAGTATATGGGGCACTACAGTCTACATGGGGGTGACTGCAGCCGGCCAAAATTACCCTTGGAGCTGTCTCAGCTGGCAGGTCCTGAGCCGGCTTTGGCTAGATCAACGTAATATGCGCCTCGTTAGAATAATGGCTTTTACAGTAGTGCATCTTGTTCAGCTACAATTTCAATTTTGAAAGTCACCTACTGTAAGTCTACAAATGTTCGGCCCGTTCAAACTTTCGGCCTACCAGGGCTAGAACCCGTTTTGGCCGCATCACATTTTCGGCCTGTACTGCTGCCGCCTGTATATACGCTTTCACACTGAACCTTGCAAAACAAAATTCCGGTCGCAACAAATTTCCGGCCAAATATGACCAGGCCGAAAATAAATATGCGCTGAATATTTCAAAGGTTGACTTACAGTTCTAAGTCGCATCTCCAGTTTCAGGTCTGAGCCAGATTGTTTCAATATGTTCACGTATTAGGAAGTCACTCTCAATAATTATTGTAAGTCGCACCTGCACCCCGCTCTTTGTCCTTGAAGTTAGTTGAGTGTGAACAGGTCCGACTTATGTTCGGGGAAACACGATAACTAATTCTGGCTCTTTTCATAGGTAGTTCTGAATGGCATTATGGTAATTTAAAAAAAGCAAATTATCGCCTCTGCTCCCGAGTGACTTCCCGGCGGCCGGTGACATCTGAAAAATCCAGCGATAGTGCATAGCATAAATTATGATGGCCCTAGTGAATGGTAGCCGATTCTGTATGTCACACGCTGGTGTTACCTTTCTGTGTCCGCAGTGTCCCACTTCCCCTTTACCCTCATCCCTGCAATGATGCAGTGCGTACAAGCAGGATTCTAGCAGCTTTCTCCTGTAGCACTACTGCAGGTAACCTGTAATCACTATGCCCCGTCGCGCCATGTACCTGCATAAACCGTGATTTCAATTGCGACAGCATGTTACAAGGCGAGGACGCCCAGTGCTCCTGAGTACGACCATAACCCGGTTGGCCGAGTCCCGGTCTTGCGACCATCTGGACCGTATAGAGAAAACCCCGGTTCGGATTGTTACGGAATCTCAGCCATTCCGTTCCCCGGGACGCAGGACACAAAGGACAAGACTGGTTTGTTTTACATAATATATTTGAACATTACGGAAAGGTAGACTACTCTGACAGAGACGAACAAGAAGACTGACAAAAGGACTCTCGACTACAAAATCGCGCATGCTCATATCACACATGCACGCGACTAGACGAGACAGTTTGGGGAATGCCATCACACAGGAAAACAACACATCATTTCACAACACCTGCCCCCTTGATGACATTCCACAAAATAATAAACCGACACCACGTTCCACATGCACAACAACAAAAGGAACCACAGCAGAACAGAAAAACGAAAACTTTAGAGCCGACGCTCTAAAATAATATCCGGGCCACGAAACAGGGCCAAACAAAAACCTAGAGCCGACGCTCTACAACCAGGCCACGCCACACAAGCCACACAAGGCCAACAGCCACACAAGGCCAACAAAATAATAACATGCGCACAGCCGCACCAAATAAATCTACAACAAAAACAATGGAGAACAACAGAACGAATAGAAGAGCAACAGACCGACAACAACCAAACTGAAACAACACAGCAACAAGCAACGAACTGAACAGAGAGAGAACAACACAGCGAGCAAGACAACAAGACGAACAACAAGGACGACACACAGTCGGTGACGCCAGACTCGTCCACTGTCCTCTGGCGAGCCACGGCCACACGCTCCGTCGCGGTTCCTGCCGTCTCAGGCTCCAGTCCACAGTGACTGTTCTAGTCCATCACCTTCTCTGCCTCCTCTCCGCGTCGTCTTCCGCTTCCACCAGCTCTTCACCTCCTCCGCTCCCACGCTCTGTTTACTTCAAAGTAACAGTTACATAGTTGTTGACGACGACGAACAGACTCACTACAAACTAACTCATCCTCTGCGTCCCGGGTTTCGGCACCACGTTGTTACGGAATCTCAGCCATTCCGTTCCCCGGGACGCAGGACACAAAGGACAAGACTGGTTTGTTTTACATAATATATTTGAACATTACGGAAAGGTAGACTACTCTGACAGAGACGAACAAGAAGACTGACAAAAGGACTCTCGACTACAAAATCGCGCATGCTCATATCACACATGCACGCGACTAGACGAGACAGTTTGGGGAATGCCATCACACAGGAAAACAACACATCATTTCACAACAGGATCCTCTTTTTTCCGGGGGATAATAATACCATAAACCGTGATGTAATCCCGGAATTTCACTGTGACATCCACCCATGCAGCTGCAAAACTCTGAGTTTCATGCACTCTTGCTTTCCAGTCATCATGTGTTCCCATTGTTGTTGTCCCAGGAAAACAGGTGGTATGTCTATAATCAGGAATAACGACCCGGAGCTCCTTCAAATGAAGGACACCCTGCATCAGCTCAACATCAAACACTCTCTCCTTACCCCGGACGACATCAACCACCGCTACCCGGGTCTTCGGTATGGTCCCGGCTGGACGGGGGTGTTCGACCCCGAAACCGGGGTGCTTGCTGCAGACGAATGCAGGAGTGCGTTTCAGGTGAGGTTCTCGACTGGTTGGATGTTATTAATTTGTTATCTATTTCTGCACTTCGTAGCATGTCAAGACAGCAAATTGAATTGAGGAGAGGGTGAGACCAACCACGGATGTGTCGAGTGGTGTGTTATGGGCTTGTACAGATGCATAGAGACGGCACACATGGAATGGTCCATACAGTGGGTCCATTGTTAATAACCATAATTATACATATTTGATTTCCACTATAAATAAAGTATACAACAAGCGCCCATGTTCCTTCTGCTAGAGCCCTGAGGTTGCTATAGTAACCAGGCATACCTTGTACACGTAATTATGGTTCTCTCTATCTCAGAGCGAGTGCACCAAGCACGGTGGAGCGTTGCTTCCCAACAGCCGAGTACGTGGCATACGACCTGGCCATGATGCCGTGACACTAACGCTGGACGATGGCGGAACAGTGCAATGTCGTCGGCTGGTCATCACGGCGGGTAAAGTAGATAATACTGGTGCTGTGGGGCATTGTGCTATGAATGGATAACACTGATGCCATTGTGCATCAAGCTCGCTCATGCTGTTGCCTGTGGTCCTCATATACGTTAGTCAAATGAACTGTTTTCCTTCTGGCAATGAGATGTGTTTGTGAAAGTTGCTGTTCAGTTCCAGTTGCTGATGTGCGTGCACATGCTCCACGGCGTAGTCCCTGGGCGTATGGTCCATGAGGCTAGACCATTCTTTCCGAAAGATCTTGGCTGGTACTGATGACAAATCACGATGGATGAGTTTGACGCTTGGCTCGTTCTTTCACTGACCTGTTTTAATGCCCCCCCCCCCTCCCCCCAATCTCTCTCTCTCTCTCTCTCTCTCTCTCTCTCTTTGGCTGGTTGGCTGGACGGACAGTCCACATGTGTATGTTAGAAAAAGGCAGTCACCCTCACCCATATCAGTCTCCTTTGTTGTGTGTGTGTCTTGCCTTTCATGTAGGCCCGTGGAGTAAAAACATCTTGGCAGAATTGGGTGTTCAGCTGCCGTTGACGGTACGATTCGTTCCACTCCCGAACAAATCCTACCCCAGTCTACTGGCAATGAATGCTGAGTTGGGAGGACCCCCGAGAGAGTTGGAATGCTTAGTTTAGCAGTGATACCGTGTCCACTCACAGACAAATTCTTCTCCATTGCCTGGCAATGAATGCTGAGTTGGGAGGGCCAGAGAGCTGGGATGCTTATCAGTGTTTCCGTTTGCTACTGTCATTCTACAATGTCACACACTCCACTTCCACTTCTGAACAAGGGTGTGTTCGTTTCCCCGTTTATTCTGTGCTACTTCTGGTTCACTGACTATTCTGCATTCTTCTTTTGCCTGCCTGTGGGTGGGCTAGTACCATTACCCCACCCTCAATGCCCTCAATCCCGTACCTCGTCTCTCTCGTCTCCACACCATACACACACACACACACACACACACACACACACACACGCCCGCACACACACACACCCACATACATACACACCCGCACCCACCCACACACGCCCGCACACTTTCTCTTGCAGGTAGAGCGTATTAACGTGTGCTACTGGAGTGCCCGCAAGCCCGGTCTGTACAGTCGCAGCAGTGGTTTCCCCGTTTTCATCCATCACACGGGAAAGACTCACTACTACGGACTGCCAATCGACGAGTATCCCGGCTTGCTCAAGGTCAGTTTGCTGTGTACCATGAATTGGTTGGAATAGTATCTTATATCTACTGTTCCACAATATCCTTTTTACATTTCATTCACAGTGGGTCCAATGTTATTAGGCATTTTGCCTGTTTTGATTTCCACTATAAATAAAGTATACAACAACAACAACTCATTGCATTCCCAACTCATCACAACCACGCGCTCTTCAGCCGAACCATACAGACACCAGCAAGGACACTTCCGTTGAGAGATAATATTGCTCCACGCCTCTAGACAGCTGTTTCGCTCCCTGTCGGAGCTCATCAGTAGAGGATAATAATGATGATAGTGGATGAATGAGCATTCTTATACACCAGAAATGGCGCAAATGCGCGCTTTCCACATATATCAATGGCATATGCAAGCTGCTAAAATGGTAAAGTGTGAGAACAGCGATAAATAATCATAGTACGCGCTCATTGGTGGAGAAACACACCACACAAGCGACGAAAACCTGACGCGGAATACTGATGCCAATGGAAAGTCTCGGCGGTGAGTCTCGCCTCGCCTGCATACATGGACATTGCAACATCATAATAATAAACAACATACATGTACTTTCCATTGGCATCAGTATTCCGCGTCAGGTTTTCGTCGCTTGTGTGGTGTGTTTCTCCACCAATGAGCGCGTACTATGATTATTTATCGCTGTTCTCACACTTTACCATTTTAGCAGCTTGCATATGCCATTGATATATGTGGAAAGCGCGCATTTGCGCCATTTCTGGTGTATAAGAATGCTCATTCATCCACTATCATCATTATTATCCTCTACTGATGAGCTCCGACAGGGAGCGAAACAGCTGTCTAGAGGCGTGGAGCAATATTATCTCTCAACGGAAGTGTCCTTGCTGGTGTCTGTATGGTTCGGCTGAAGAGCGCGTGGTTGTGATGAGTTGGGAATGCAATGAATTGAAAATATGGCCGAAAGCTCTGCCGCAATATTTAGTTCTGAAGTTTTAACAACAATAACAACAACAACAATACGCTTCAGTATTCACTAAGGGCTGTGGTTGATATGATGTTGTTGGAGTAGTACAGTAGTCTGCACGCTGTACACATCCCGTACGCGCCAGCTATCGTTATGCACGCACGCACACGCACCTGTTATGTGCTTCTTCATACGCTGCTGTGGATATGGGAATAAGGGGTTCGTCTTGACAACACAACAGATGTGAGGTGGGTTTGCTGTGTACCGCACTCCAGTACGCAACGGTAGTACACGCCACGATGCGCTAACATGCACACTACGCGCAAGCGTGCATAAAAAAGGAGGAGCACCCGAGGTGTTCTAGCGATTTACGAAAGAACTCCCGGACCCGATGAACTGGAGTCTCACAGTCGAGCAAGAGCGGGCTTATTATTCGGAATTCTGAGTTTCCGCGATAAAACGATTATCACACGAAAAATGATAGTGACCAAACCGGGGCCCCACTTCTATCTAGTGTTACATTTATAATTAGCTCAGACCTTGATTTTGTGTTGTCTCCACGTCTTCATCTCCATTTTCCCTATTAGTTGTGTCCGCATCATGGCAAGCCTATTTCGTCGCCTGATCATCGTGACACATCCCGGGACCTCACTGGTGTAGACGGTGTGTCTGAGTTCGTCAAGGAGCACTGTCCGCATTTGGAGGCGAAGCCGTCTATTCTGGAGACGTGCGTGTACACGGTACGGGATTCAAGATAGTGTGTGTGTGTGTGTGTGTGTGTGTGTGTGTGTGTGTGTGTGTGTGTGTGTGTGTGTGTGTGTGTGTGTGTGTGTGTGTGCGTGCATGTGTGAACATGTGCTGCGGTGTGAAGTCGCAACTCCTGTTTTGAGTTGTTTTTCTTCTCTCTTTTTCTTTCCCTACTAGCTGCTGTTACACTCACTGATCCTTATGCACAGATATACAGCATTCCCTCACTAGGGGACCATTGTTATTAGGCTAGGGCCTGTTTTGGACTTCCCACTCTAAATAAACAACAAACAATACACGCCTAACCAGTTTGCCTGTATGTACGTCTGTGTACTCCTACATGTGTGTGTGTGCTTGGTTAGGTAACGCCAGACAAACATCCCGTCCTGGACCGACATCCCGTCTGGAAGAACATTGCCTTTGGCGCCGGCTTTAGTGGTGAGCAACTCTCCTCTCATGCAGTGAATTGTTCGCTCTCCAGTTCGTATGGTTTCAGAATGCTTACGCCATTTTCTTGAATGCTAGGAAAAAATGACACGGGTTCGCGTACAGGGCAGGTCAAGAACCGCCTTTCTGCTTCCGTGGGACACCACCACCCCATGATCAGGCACCAGATACGGCTCCTAAACAGTGGGGGAGGATAGATCAGGGGCCAGAGGCCAAAGGCCGAAATCCCTTTTGTGGCATCCATGTTTTACGCTAGGGAAAGAACTTTGTAATTTCATACGGAAGAAAAGAAAGTTGTTCGCACACTTCTATTCCACATACCGGTAGCTTTTTGGCATAGTTCAGATGCAAAAATGCAACAAGCGGCAAATTTAGGAAATCGAGACTTTTGCAACAGTGCCATCAACAAGTCAGGGAGCACCATCATACGATGGTTCACATTCGAATTCTGACCAGAATCACTTCAAAACACCTACCGAATATTGATTTTAGATACAAGTCGCTTGTAACTTGAATAATCCCTGGAGCTCATTGTCAACGGACAGAAGCGGAGAGAGAAACTGCATTTATCATCTCTTTTTATCATCTCTTTTTGACTATGCAGGCAGGCATAGTGGGATGGTCTAAGACCATGATTGAGAAACAGAGGGTACCAGGTTCAAGTCCTGCTTGGAAGCGGAAGGATTTTTTCCAGCCGTGCTGCGACCCACAGTTAATAGACCCTTTGCACAATAAGCGAGAGGGGTCGAGACGGGGCATGCTGTGCACGCGCTGCACACTTGGCATGCAACAAGCATGCATGGTTTGCTGCAGGACGTGATCAAGTTTCCTGTGACAGGCTGTGTTTTCACGGTCCCGACGCGATGTTCATGTATGTACTCCCCAGCCTTTTTTCATTTGAAGTTTTTTAGTTTTGAAGGAAGAAGTTTCGAAATGCTTTCCAAGGACCACTGCTGGGTTCTTGTTTGCACCAACTGTCATCCCTAACGTTAGTCTAAGGAACCCACTTGTCTTTCCATGCGTTTCCTGGTGATGCTGGCATTCCACACTCTGGAATCCTGGCTATCTGGCGAGAAGTGGGCCGCAGTGCATGCGATATCGTTCACAGTGTTTTGCTCGGAACACTTTGTCCATGACGACTTTCATCCTTGCTTTTGCTAAGATAATGAACGCCCTGCCAAGAGACTCTGGAGCTTGAGAAAAAGGCATGACGCATCCCTGTCTTCGCTATTGGAAGATCGACTGCTTGCTGGCGCTGCTCGAGCTGCTGATGTTGAAGTGGAGAGAGACGCAGCCTCATCGCTCAGGTGTGCGGAGAAAGTCATCTGAGTTCGAGCTGTGGCTGCGTGCACGATATGACCGACTTTCACATTATGCACATAGCCACCAAAGTAAAACTCGTGGACACTATCCACGGGCTTGTTCACTAGTACTACTCCATCAGCTCCCTCTTCACTGTCGTCGGCGACTTGCCCCTGCGTTGGAGACGAGCACGCATGGTGTGGCCCGCACTCACTCTGGGAAACAGAGGTTCATCACTCATCCACTGGGAGTCGGACGCATGAAATGTTGGGCATGACGAAGGTACACTCGAGGAAGTGGTGCCCTTCTTAGTTCTAGGAGCATCAGGGTTCTGCATAGAGAAGTGTTCTCTACATCGACAGAGGAGAGAAGGTAGAGAAACGAAAAATATTTCAATCTACAGTAATCCGAAATATCCACTGTGTGCGGAAAACTTACCGCTCCAACGACTCCTTCTTTTTCCAGACAGATACGCACCCTCATTCAGCAGAAAACTGTTCAGTTCCTTCACAGACCATTCTTCATTTGACAGTTCGTCCACGGGTTCCACAGCCATCGATGGCAAACCACTCGACACTCTCTCCTCCATCTCCAAAACGGAAAAATACAGTGTTTCACCATGCTCAACAACTGATACTCTGCACAAAAATCGAAGAGGATGCCCCGTCTCGGATCACGTGACCGTTATTGTGCAAAGGGTCTATTGGGAACTCGTGGCCTGGCACGAGGGAAACATGGATGCAGTGAATGGGATTTCGGTCTTTGACCACTTTGTGGTGGGTCTGATCTACTCACCTCCCACCGTTTAGGAGCTGCATCTGAGGGTGGTGGCGTTCCTGCGGATGCGGAAAACTGGGCCTTTGGCCGAGTCTCACGCGAACCGTGAATTTTTTTTTTTTTTGACAAGGAGTTTCCACTTTACATGCAATGAACTGTGCCGACACCCACGGTGAACTGGGTACTCACTTGCTCGGTGTGATGGTAACAAGGATGCGGTTTATGGGGTTATTAGGCCTTTACACGCCCGCTTGGTGAGAGACGTATCCCCTCTCCCCTGACTCACTTGTGATGTCTGCATTCGACACTCAGTGAGGATATATGGGCGAAGTGATGGCCCGCCGATGTGAATGTATTTGCTTGATGTGTTCCTCAACACGTCAAGTGATGCGGCCTCGAATCCAGCTAACTTATCTTTTTTCTCAACTGTGTGTGCTTGCGTGCATTCGTGTGCGTGCGTGCATGCGTGTGTGTGTCTGTGTGTGTGTGTGTGTGCGTGTGTGTGTGTGTGTGTGTGTGTGTGTGTGTGTGTGTGTGTGTGTGTGTGTGTGTGTGTGTGTGTGTGTACATGTATATCCACATGTGCATACAGGTCATGGTTTCAAGTTGGCACCGGTCGTCGGTCAGATCCTATCCCAGCTCGTTCTGAACAGGCCCAGCAAGTACGAGCTAGCACCGTTCAGAGCCGACCGCTTCACCGCCCGCCACTATCAGCCTGAACAGCAGGCAAAGCTATAGACACGGTCACACGGTGCCTTTAGTACATGGCTGCATGTAGGCCAGTGCTGCTTCAAGCCAGGAGTAGTAAAATGCCAGTATTTTACTACTCCCTGCATGCAAGCCACCACTGGCATCAGTGGCGCTTACAAGCAGAGAGTAGTAACATGTCGGTATTTTACTACTCCCCGCTTGTAAGCCCCTGCAGTGGAATGCCATGGCAGTCTGTCATTTTTGAAGAGTCTTCCCAAAACGCGATGGAAACAAAAGTGTGCGGCATAGAATTATTCTAAATTTCGAATCGTGAGTTATTTTCTTACTTGAAATTTGCAAGGACATTGTTGTGGACTTCTCTATGTTCATGTCCATTGTGCAATGTGACTTTGCTCGAGTTCTTTCTTCGGTGGGGTATTCGCTGCCATATTGGTGCCTAGGTGGGCGAGTGGATTGCATGGCCAAAGCTGCACGACCGCGATGCCGCTCGCCTCAGTTTCCGTCCGTGGACGACTCACTTCGTGCACTCTACACTATTGTGAATGCACAGTGGCTCTTCTGACATTCTTTTACATTTTCATCTTTTATTTTTTTACTTTTATCAGTAAGTACTCAGATGGTGAGCCAAGGAAAATAATAAATTGTGCCCCACCGTTTTCCTTTTTATCAGTGAATAATCTGAGTATTTCTATTCACTGGTTTGAGGGAAAGACGCCAAAGAATATCTTTGTCTTCATTTTTTCTTCCGAAGTACTTCTTTCGCTTTGTCTATTTACACATTGTACCCATATGAACTTATCAATATGGTTATTTTTACAAGTACCAAATTTCATGCCATTTACTTCAGTACTAAAAAGCCCTGAAAAAAACCCAAAGAACTAGCAGTACATAAAATCATACGGTGTACACCGGTAGCACAGTCATGCTTTTCTTTACATGTACAGTAAAACTGTCCAGGTCAGGACGTCCCTAGCCTGGCCACGTCTATCTACCGGTCACCTTTCTGACCCATCTAGAATCAGAAAAAGGCTTTTCAGCGACAAATGCCCCCCCCCCCCCCCCCCCCCCGACAGTCATGTTGACAGGCATAAACATCTTTTCTTGCATGCAGTATGTATGTACATGTAAGGTCTGAGTTACGGGCAATTCCTAGGTACGGGCAGTACCCAACCTGCCCGGATCTGGGCAGTTTTACTCAGGGAGTAGTGTTGTACTACTCCCTGGTTTTCCTGTACTGTGCAGTCTTTCGGTGAAGGTCAGTCACTGTGACCTCACATGCAGCAAAGGCCCTGTAAGGCTGTAGGTACAGTCACTGCTACTGCTCCATTCAATCCACACACACGCGCGCACACACACACACACACACACACACACACATACACACACACATGCATACACTTGTACTTGCTCACTGCCAAAAACTGGTCACATGGGTCTCCCCGGGAGAGGGGAGAAAGATTCGAAAGGAATATTATTGGAAAGAAATTGGCTATTGAACTGCCCAACAGTCGGCACCACTGAAGTCCTCAAACTCTGGTTGGACTTGGACATGATTCCACTTGCGGGTTCAACATGCAAAACCCGGCAAGTGGGTGAGGACCCGGTACAGAAAAAGGATTGACGGCATCAGGATATCCGTCTCGGGTTCCAACTGCAGTTACCCCTGCCCCCAGTGAAGGTAATAAAAATATTACTTGCAACTAGTGTGGGTGGCTAAATCAGAGAGTGGATCCGATAACTAAATGTATAAGCTTCACGAGCACCATTGATTACACAAGACGCACACACACATGCGCACGTACCCGTCATCGTGCCCTGCAGTACATCATCGCGTGCAACATTCACGCTGACGTCGTATTTCATTCTCTGTGCGAATAATTCTTGCGCAAAATTCTAACAAGGAACTGTGCCCAGGAAAAAAGACGACCAAAATAACTGTTAGTACACACTGCATGAAGACAGCAGTGTTGATCTCAGAGAGACAAAGCAGAGAGAACGCATACAAGAAGAAGGAAGTCAGCTGAACAATAATTGTGAAAAAAGGTTACAGACCTGCTGAACCATGAGACAAAGGCCCCTAGGCTAAGAAATGTTGCCGGTACACTGGAATAATGAAGAAAATAGAGTGTAACCCGATCTGCACGAATGAATGATGAAACTCTGTGTGTTTGTGTGTGTGTGTGAGTGTGTGTGTGTGTGTGTGTGTGTGTGTGTGCGCGTGTGTTCACGGACGTGCATGCGTGTGGTGTTCGTCGTGTTGCACACCGTGGCGCAATCCATAGAAACAAGGACATTGCAGTCAGGTTCAGTAAACGTTTACTTCGCATGCTCATTGGGAATTCCCCTTCGCGTAGCAATACTAATACAAACATATCGTCTTGTTCCATTGCGTGAAATCATGATGATCAAATGCTGAGAGAATCATAAGCAGGCAGGTGTGAAATTGCAGGTCAACTGCCAACAAACAAATGGGCATCGTCCGTCAAGGGCAAATCTGGGAAAACAAATCTACTTCGAGCACAGCACAAGACTCAAGTATCGCTGCCGATGCAGACCAAAACAACCCTAGTCAAGAAAGCGTGGACCGTGTGGACCACAAGATTAACTGACCTGCACCAGGTAACATTACACTGGAAGTGTGGTCACCAGCACGGCAGCTATGCTAGCAAGGCAATACGTGAAAACAGGCTGGCATGGGAAAGGCAGCAGGGTTGCAGCGGATCCAACGTATCCATGGCACTCAACCCTTTTGGCACAAAGCGTCCACATTTCACCTTATAAGAGAAGCGTAGCGCGTCGCTGCAGGTCATCGTGAGCGGTCTGCTCCAGCGCAAACGCCTTGGTGGTGGGCTCTATGCCCTGCCAGGACATTGCGCCCGGTCGGGGACGCTGCTGGAAGTACGTCTCACGACCAAACGTGCGTCGGCCGTACACACTGCCCTGATTGCTCCTGCAGTCAGGGGGGGGGGGGGGGGGGAGAGAGAGAGAGAGAGAGAGAGAGAGAGAGAGAGAGAGAGAGAGAGAGAGAGAGAGAGAGAGAGAGAGAGAGAGAGAGAGAGAGAGAGAGAGAGAGAAAGGAGGAATTCATCATAAAAAGTCCCAGTGAAAGACTGTCCTCAGTGCAAATTTACACTACGGGACAGAGTGCCAAAACAATTGCCATAGAAATTCTTGGCGGGGGTGCTCACGAGACGTTACTGCCAGTAAAAGCAGCTCCTTCCATCATGCACCCTCATCGCTTCAGGTCTGGCGAAGTTCCAGACCACTTCTGGTGATCAGTTTGTCCAGTATATCATATCCGGGACAACGCCAGTATTGGTTTCTAGTGCAAAAGCAATCACTGGGCTCTGCTGCTCCCTCAAATCGATGATTTGAGTGCCCTTATGCGGAACATCGCGAGCAGGAGCAGTGGGCAGCCAAAGCAGTACGTCTTGGGCTCGCTGGCGAGTGGAGCAAACGGTGTGCAGCTGGACTTTGATGAGGGGAATATGAGTGCGGCATACAGTACGCTGAGGAAGACTGAGTGCCGCAGTGTACAGGGGTGAATTTACTGCTGTTTTTTTTGCATAGCAGCGACAAATTTAAGAAATTTAGATTTTCAGCTCAGTGTAATCAAAAGGTCTAGAAGTACCTTCGGGCAAAACGTCACATTTAAAATCTGATTAGAACTACTTCGAAAATGGTCCCCCCCCCCCCCCCCCCCCTCCCCCCCACACACCACCACCACCACCACCATCACACATGAAAAAGAAGAGTATGTGTAGCAGTTCCTTACTTGAGCGTAACATCGGATATGGTGCTCGACATAGCAAACATGTCATGCATGGCGTCTGCAGAGCGGTGCAAGCATTCCGCCAGCTCTGCGCGACTGTCTCGCTCCGTGCTCGTTGGCAGATTGACAGCTAACAGTTAATCAAACAGACGGACAACAGTGCAGAAAAGAGGAAGACAAGTTTTCAAAAAAGCACACATGGCGTATAGTTGTAGACGTGTTTTCACGGTGACAGCGTGAGCAAGGCGAGCACGCACTGTACGGGAAACAGTTGTAGACGTGTTTTCACGGTGACAGCGTGAGCAAGGCGAGCACGCACTGTACGGGAAACAGTTGTAGACGTGTTTTCACGGTGACAGCGTGAGCAAGGCGAGCACGCACTGTACGGGAAACAGTTGTAGACGCGTAGACCAGTATGTAGAGTAACCCTGCCCTAACCGGACAGCCCTTGCCCTTGGTGCAGCGCAAACTGTCCTGATATGACAGGATTCCGCTTGGTCCAGGGATAAGGATGCATGCTCGATCCATAGCACTTTGGTTTTTCGGTCAACACAGGATTCCGCTTGGTACAGGGTCCAGCGAACAAAGGCTCTACGACGACAGAGAAATCTGACAGCCTGGTCATTACATTTAAAGCCCGTCTCCCAAATTCTGGTCAAGCTGCAATTGTTCAGAGCAGGTATTGAGCAAAACAGCACCTGGATCTTTGAGAGTGGTGACATTCCTACAAAATGCGGAAAATTCAGTTAGACTCATCTGGTGTGACTGATCTAGGAGCTGCATCTGCGCCTAGATCCTTGAGGGTGGTGGGGTTCCTACGGATGCGGGGAATTCAGTCTTACCGAGTCTCACCGGAACCATGATTTTTTGGGGTCTAATGCAAACTGTACACTCAATTATTATTTTTCATAAGCGCCACAAAAAGACATGCTACCAGTCTGCCATAATTCTTACAAGTCAGCGTATCGTTGAAGGAATCCCACGTCAAGCTGCTGAAATCCGCTGATGATATCTGTGAATGCACACACACACACACACACACACACACACACACACACACACACACACGGGCGCGCCCGCAGAAAGACGATTTAGTGCACTCGGGAGTGGGCGTCCACGACTACTAGGGTATGAAGTGCTTGTACAAAACTTGTGTTAATACGGGTTGGAGGCCGGTCATTGGTGCAAAGCAAGGCCGTGCATGTGTAGTTTGTTGCGACTTTCAGCAGTAGCATAAATGAACTGAGCTTCCTTCCTGGCACAACTTACTGCAAAGTCGTCGTCCAGAGCGTGCTTCAAGTTGACCTCCAGGTCACCAAGTTGCGACAGGGAGTGTTTGAACTGGTGCAAAAAAAACAGAAACAAAGCAAACAAAACCATCTCATGTGAGAAATGATCGACAAACAGTGGGGTCCTATACGATTGCTTTGCAAGGGATCCCTAAGAAGGTGCTCCCCATGTACATACCCCTACCCCGCCCAAGGTGATTCAACTGGAGCAGACACTGGACAAGCCCAATGGGCATCGTCAAATAAGGAAAGTACGTATGAGTAATGCAAGTGAGTACGTTGGGATCAGCAATGCACTGTTCAACGCTGCAAACAACCGTGTCCAGGGTGGCTGTGTGCGGTGTTGGTGGTTCTGTACAAACGATGTCATTGAACAATCAGCTTATTGGACAAGGACCAGAACAAGGCTACTCACCAATGACATAATGGTGACATCATCGTCTTGCAGTGATGACTCGGCCACGAGTACCATCGTGGTGGCGGAGTGCGACTGGACGTAGAGGTTGAGTCGCTTGAGCCCCTCCACCTGAACGCGGTGCAGACACACAGAGCATGATCATTGGCTTCTACAGTGCTGCTCAATGAAATCCAAGTCGCTTCGCTCAAGTACGCGCCGGGCGTTGCGCAGCCCTCGGCCTGCAAACACCGGGCTGCGAAATGGTGCAAGGCGCAAACTTGAGTGACGCGACTGGATTTCATTGATCAGCACTGTACATGTACACCCAATATAGTGAATATACAATGCTGCTCAATGAAATCCAGTCCAGTCACTCAAGTACACGCCGGGCGTTGCGCAGGCCTAGACCTGCAAACACTGGGATTCGAAATGGTGCAAGGCGCAAACTTGAGACTTGAGTGCCGCGACTGGATTTCATTGAGCGGGACTGTATTATACAACACATTTATCATCAACGACCACACCATAACTACGATCTCCAGTCGACCTCGACACGACGTTGCCACAGCACACCACCAGCAAAGCTACACACCCGCTGGTACTGATAGTTTTATACTCGAAGCAGCTGTATGAAGGAATTCAGGACCAGGGGATGGTTTGCTTTGCTGGTGGTGTGCCGTGGCAACGTGTCGAGGTCGGCTGGAGAGCTCAGTTGCGGTGGTGTAGTTGTTGAAAAATCTGTACAGGGCAGAATGCTGCTGCTTCCCCTTATCGACATGTCTCGAAAGCCATTACGAAGCAGGTTGCAGGTTTGAAGCTCCGTGCTTTCCCCTGATTTTCAGGCTGTAGGGTAGTCAGGTAGTGAAGCAATTAGTAGTACAATGTAGTTGTATCAATCCTGATTATGGCCCAGGGCCAAAATATTGATGGAGAATTTATTCGTCCCTCCCTCAAACCAGTGAATAATTTAATATATATATATATTTTTTAAATTGCAGTTCAGAGACAGTATATGTGCGTGTTTTGAGAAATCTTTTAAAACGTAGTAGAAGTCTAGGAATAGCAGTGTTGTGTGGCAGGCATGTAGGTGGTGCGTCGCCATGGGCGCACCGGCGGATAGTACCACCTCAGCCTTTATCGGCGAGGCCCGGATGAAGTTCTTGTGCTCTCTTCCTGAGATCGAGCGCTCGCTGCTAGGCGTTGTGAAGACGCTCGCTGCGCTGGTTCAGGAGTCCGAGGATAGAGAAACGAGGCTGAAACACAGGATCTACGAATTGTCCACGCAGGTGAAGGACCTGAAGGAAAATTCAGCACTTCGCAAGAACCACGCCGTTATGAGAGAAGGTGCTCGGGTGAGCAGGCCAGTGGGATGCGACACCAGCCACCTCCACAGACACCGGCTGTCGGCAAATCTTGTTCGCATGAAGGTCCTCGCCACTGGCCCTCCCGGACAGCAAGAGGCCAGACGGTGCAGAGAATGAGACAGCCTCGGGTGACAGCATGTCCAACACTGAAGAACAGGAAGCAACACAGTGTGCTGTGCAAGAGTCTACCTAATGCGAGTCTTTGTAACTAATGCATTTGGGCAGCTTAGCAAACTCGGCGACTTTCAGCATGCTCTGAACACACATAAGCCTGATGTAGCAATAGTAACAGAAACTTAGCTCGCTCCAGATAAGTGTACCGCCTCGGAGTCTACCATTCCAGGTTACGGAGAGCCCCTGCGGATGGACTGTACAGCTCAGGGTGGAGATGCTGCCATGGCATACGTTGCAAGTCTACTCTGACAGGTGCCCAGATCGATCTCCATGCCACTCCTGTAGACTCTAAGAACGCACTACTATGGTGCACAATCCAGTCCCAGTCCGGCAGCGATATCACCCTGGGAGCAGCTGTGTATCAATCCGGCTCGAGTGGCGACTCTGACGTCTCTCTACTGGGGTATCTAGACCACTGCCTGGATGCCGTTCCACCCTCCGCCCAAGTCATCCTGGCTGGAGACTTCAACGTCCACAACACCGAGTGGCTTGGCAGCACCAAGACTACCACTGCTGGGCAACGCTTCGAAGAAATATGTGCGACGCATGGACTGATTCAACGTGTAGATCAGCCGACAAGAGGAAAGAACACTCTTGAACTCATCCTGTCAAACTTCCCACACCCCGTCACAGTACAGGCATTTCCACCCCTGGGCAAGTCAGACCACTGTGTGATTCTTGCTGAGTTCAGCCAAAGTCAATCGCAGTCAATAACAGATACAGGATCACTGAAGAGAGCGTCTGCTCCGAACGGTGGAGCTCGCGCGTCCTGCTGACTGACTTGACACTTGACTTGACTGTCAGTCGGCAGGAAGCGCGAGCTCCGACGTTCGGCGCAGACACTTTCTTCAGTAATTACCGCCGATGTCGCAACATCTTTCTCACAGGATCAGGTCAGGGTAATGTCCATTGAAACACACATCTCCCATCATGATCACACACGTATTGAGGATGGTGTCAAATCCACCTAGCTGAGCGGCAAAATGCCTATTTATGGGTAAAGTGCGTCCAGAAACCCCATACAGGTCCTCCCTCGCTAGTAGAAAATCTCTGGGCCATCCAAAAAATAATCTATGACGAGACTTATCTTGTAAAAGGACTTTCAAGTTTCAACTAAAAATACAAGACGCACTTATTCGTACTTATATGGGTACCCTCAGTACAACATCAATTATCGATGCTTCAACTCGTGATAGGTTAATTGAAAATATCCAACATAGCTGTTCCTTGGATGCAAAAGATCGTCCATATCTACAAATACTTCGAAGTACATAGATAGAATACGTTGTGTATTTCTGCTTTATCCTATGTGTTTTGGCCTTGGGTGTGCACGGTCAGTATTATCTTATACTGAGGGCCTGGCACTCCAGGGACCTGGGCAAAGGGTCGTGATAACGAATTTGACGTACTAACAAATTATGTTGTAACCGGACCTGCAAACAGTGGTATAGACCACGTTTCGCCAGGGGATTTCAGATTTCTATTTACTAGCTGGGTTTGTGTAGTAACTGGACTCGTTATAATGAGGGAGACCCAGATAATTATGTTAACGTCAATTAAATTTAAAGATCTTCAAAATTTTGTGGGTTAGCGAGGTGAAATTCTAACGAATTTTGTCTCAATACTGGAACATGACTGCACATGTACAAATCGTTTAGTACATAGCGACTTCAAATGTTGAAGATTTTTTTAATTCGTTGAATCGTTAGAATTACATGTTCAAAGGAAAAGGAAATATAGATACGAGTTGAGAGTAACTCTCCATCACTGTAACCAGATACTATATACAGTCAGAAAGTGCAACAACTAGGCACAAAACTGACAGAGTACTGAGACATTCGACGTCCTGACACCTAGCTTCAACACATCTCCGTAGCGCTAACCGACAGCCTTCCAACTTAGAAGGTTCAAAGTTATGGAAAGACCAAAGAGGGGAAGGCAAGCGCAACGAAAATGAGCACAAGCTACAGTCCTGACGGAACAAAGAATGTTTCCATAACTTTGAACCTTCCAAGTTGGAAGGCTGTCGGTTAGCGCTACGGAGATGTGTTGAAGCTAGGTGTCAGGACGTCGAATGTCTCAGTACTCTGTCAGTTTTGTGCCTAGTTGTTGCACTTTCTGACTGTATATAGTATCTGGTTACAGTGATGGAGAGTTACTCTCAACTCGTATCTATATTTCCTTTTCCTTTCTACATTTATTATTGGCTCAACATCCGAGTTTCAAATTAAATGTTCGTTAAAATTACTGGTCCCACAGCATGTGACGTCAAGAGTACATAAACCAGAGTGTGCAACTGTGCATATCAGATCTGAAACAGCGCAGTTCGTGCACTACGTCACCCTGATGAGGTCAGCCAAGCCGCGACTTGCATACAGCTCAAACTTTCATGTTTCATAGCCCGGAAATCAGCCAAGTTTGCTTGATTTTAGACGTCCTGTTTCAGGATTTCGGTGTTTTTTTGTGACTGTGTATGCGTACATCCACCGACAAATAAAGTCACCAGGCTATCCGTACCAAAAAACCGAAATCAGGACAAACTCAGTGACCTGCACCACCGCGACTGGTTACGCAACTTTTCACCGTACCTGTGGCTTACCATGCCATCAGAAATGACGTACTGCACGAGTTAGGCCATGGTAAAAAATAAAGTTGATTCTCAGGTCATGAGCCTGTGAAAATCGGTGCGAGCGAGCGATTTTTTATTTTAATTCCCACAATTTTTTTATTTCCAAAGATAGGGTCACACATGTGTACGTCACAGGTTCATAATTAATTTATAATTATTTTATTATTCAGGCCAGGGAGTAGAAAAATACCGGTATTTTACTACTCCCGGATTCATGCCTTTCGCATTGACCATTTTCATGCACGCATATGCATGCATAGAAATAAAAAAAATCGTCGGTGCGCCACCAAAAATCGATGCGCGTGTACTTGAGAATCAAAGATATTTTTTACCATGGCCTTACGCTCCCACAGGAACATCCCAAGTTGCACACTCTGGTTTATGTACTCTTGGTGACGTGTATTGCATACCCTCTATAGAGCTACGAACTAACCTCGTCGATAGCGCCACCTGCCAAGCTTAGAACCACCGGCTCAGCAACGACTGAAGGATCGAGTCCGGGCACGCTTGAGCAAGTCACCGGCGTTCCTTTACCACCGCCAGTAGCGCCGACACTGCCCGACAGCGGGGTGGTACATCGGCTGTTAGTGTGGGAGAGGCCGGTCAGCGGGCTGGTTAGTCCCTGCGGCACCTCCTGGGTCTCCTTCTGCAAATATCCGGGGTAAGGCGATGCACATGCATACATATGCACGTACACATACACCAACACCAGCACACACGCCACGCATACACATATACGCACGGACGCACACACACACACACGCACGGACGCGCACACACACACACACACACACACACACGCGCGCGCAAAGAACGGTCAGTCGAAGAGCAAGCAGGCTAGGATATTATCAAGATATAGTAGTAAAAACATGCCTCAAACACACTTCTAGATCGTACGTAGACGAACATAAGAGCGGCCTAGGCTTCCATCACTCCGATAATTTTGATATGTCCGTTTAAAACGTAGGCGGAAATCTTGCCGTTTCCCCAAGGAATAAACAAGGTCTGTTCTGTGAGGGAATCACTAGATGCCCTAGACGGCAGAGCATAAGAAGCCCCTTGCTCTATTGCAAATTTGCAACTGTAGCTAAATGTACATGTGCACACGTGACAGCAGCCATTAGAGGATTTACCGTATTCTCCGGAGCAAAAGCTGCACCAGGCGCGTAGCACCGCCGTTGGCGGTGGTCTGGCCAGGGGGGTCGGGAGGGGGGATCTCCCCCCGGAATTTTTTTGAAATTAGCCTGCAAAATCCTGCATTCTGGGCACTTTTGGCATTGTTTTACTATGGTGGTCGTGGTCGGGCGAAAAAGTGGTCCGGCCAAAGCCGGACCGGCCGGAGCGGCTGCTACACCCCTGTGCACTGGAGTATAAGCTGCACCCAGATTGTTGGCACGAAATACTGCCATCAACCCTGTATTTCACGGTTCATTTGACTATCATAGTCTAAGCTGCACAGACTTTTTTGGGGTGAATTATGAGGGTCTCGAGTCCGGCTTATACTCCGGAAAATACGGCATCAAAGAACAAGCTGCAAGCTGGAAACCCCAGTCGAAGATCCGGGGAAGCGGACTTCAAAAGAGAAAGAAAAACAAGAAGAAAAGGGGAAGGAGCAGGTGTTCAACCGAAGCAAGACACCAGTACAGCACGGCATGCACTAACACTAGCACTAACCCCTGCAATACAGCACGGCATGCACTCACAAGGAGAAGAACAAGAACAAGGCAGTGTGAGTATGCGCACAGCTATCCATGCATTCCTACGGTGTACTATTTACGTGTATACAAATTACGTGTGATGAAGTAGCCATGCTACACTAGCATCAGCACTAACCCCTGCTATAGCTGACGGTCGGAAACCCAAGTGAGGGCTGATAGGACGCATGTGCTGGTATGTTCCACCCGGCTAGAAGAAAACAAAAAGCAGCACAACAGGTTTACAACAAACGAGTTCTTCCTCGTATCGATATGGAGTCAGAGAGGACATGTCGAAAGTGTGGTAAATGTTGACGCCTGCATGGGGCCCGTTTTGTGACCAAATAGTTTCTTGAGCTGCGATGCAATTTACTCTCACCATGTGACGAAAACGACATGGACACGGACTCATTCCCAAGGACATGACTTCGCAAAGCCATCCGTGTGACTACGACGACGTTTTGAGAAAAGCAGACGCCTGTGGAAGCTGATAGAAGACGGCGTTGATTCCTAAATTCAAATGAATTGGCGATCTTGAAATACTGAAATAATTCTCAACAAGAAATCTATCGATCGACGTGCTGGTGTATTCAACACGTAGCTACAGTGCAATGGCTTCTATTCACTCACACCATTTCAGTGTTGTAGGTATGTTCACATGGCGTGAGCCAGTCAGTTATCTACTAACGAGAGTACACTCACCAACCGAACAAGTTGGCAACACGGGTGTGTGAAACTTTGCAGCAGGGTATGCAGGAGTTGCACCATAGATGTGCTCCGGCACATGGTCACCACACCAGGAGATGTGCTCTGGCACATGGTCACCACACCAGGAGATGTGCTCTGGCACATGGTCACCACACCAGGAGATGTGCTCTGGCACATGGTCACCACACCAGGAGATGTGCTCTGGCACATGGTCACCACACCAGGAGATGTGCTCTGGCACATGGTCACCAGACCAGGAGATGTGCTCTGGCACATGGTCACCACACCAGGAGATGTGCTCTGGCACATGGTCACCACACCAGGAGATGTGCTCTGGCACATGGTCACCACACCAGGAGATGTACTCTGGCACATGGTCACCACACCAGGAGATGTGCTCTGGCACATGGTCACCACACCAGGAGATGTACTCTGGCACATGGTCACCACACCAGGAGATGTGCTGTGGCACATGGTCACCACACCACAGATGCGCGAGCTACACCCCTTTAACTTACCGACATTCTGCCGAGATCGGCGGTCAGGGTCCTGGGTGTCTGGCTGAGAGGGGGAGGGCGCTTGCCCCTACGCACTCGCTGGCCGGCCCCCGTAGCCAGCTGCAGCTCGGGATTGCTGCTGCTTGACTGCACTCGGCCCGGCCGAAAGACACTCTCCTCCTCCTCCTGCTGCTGTTGCTGCTGCGAGTCGGAGCTGCGGCGGGTGGAGCTGCACGAATGCTGCGTGGTACCGGGATAGGCAGCGTCTTCCTCTACGCTCTCCAGTGACTCGGTCTTATGGTAGGACTCTGCAAGTACATTGTACAACACAACATAGAGAGCGGCAGCTTAGGCTGTGATTGTTTGGTCGGAGCCAGATCCAGATCCGTCGGATCCACTGGATCTGCAGTGATTGATTGGTCGAATCCGGATCCAGATCCTTCGGATTTGGATCCGAGCAACCCTGCCCCTGGAGCATGGTTGACTGGATCCATCGGATCCAAATGTGACCTTTGTGCGTATATGGCGGGTAAAAATCATTTTTGTACTCATTGTTGTACGCACACAACGGCTCTCGTTGATTTTTCGTACGACGCGCGAGATCAGGACGACTGTCGCCCTCTGGGGTGACCTGTCAGCGCCATTTTTTACTTCGTCAACATGGCAACAGCCAAGGTCCAACAAAAGCGAACGGTTGGTTCTGAAGGATCCGACGGATCTCAGATCTGGACCTGGATCCGGATCCGACCAAACGATCATAGCCTAAGTGTCAAGCGCATGGACCTATGCATGCTGGAGAACAACGACTTAGAACAGAGAAAACAGGCATTCTGCTGTAAAAGTTGTTAAGGTCCAAAGTGGTTGGAGCTGCGTTAATGTGGTGTGCTGAGCGCCTAGCATAAGTGGTGTTATATTTCAAGATTACCAGAATTTGAGGTGGGCAGTTCAATACCCGACCGAGTCTTCTTTCCACGATTATTTCCTGACTCGCTCTCCCCAGGAGGGGGGGGGGGGTCCCACGTGACCAGTTTCCAACAGTGAGCAAGTACGAGTGCAACCAGGCATGATGCACACTTTTGTTTTGTTTTCAGAAAGGAGCAATAAGCTACGAGTTATGCCTGACAGTCCACCAAGGTAACAAGATTAATATACAGTCAGATAGTGTGAGAGCATGGCACAAAACTGACCGGGGTGTCGAGACATTCAATGACCTGACACATTTTTTCTTACAAGATACATAACTCCCCGGCAGGCACAATCATATCACTTACCCAAGAGTCGGCCACTGCTCGTGAGGACGCCTACTTCCATGTCCTCGGCCGTGCAACTACTGCCTGCACCTCCATCGACTACTGCTGCATCATCCAGGGCGGCTACGGGCAGGGCATCAGTGGTGGACGACGGCTGGCTGTTCATTGGCGTGGCATCATCACCACCACCACGACGACCGGGGAGATTGTGAACGATGCCGCCGCTCGGTGTACGCGTGACGTCTTTCGGAACACTCGCGGCGACATCGCCGTCGAGTGCACGGGATGAGCCATTGGCCACTGGTTGTGCCGCTGGCGGATCACCATCGCCTGGCTGCACGGAACTGCGCAGTGCGCTGGATGCTGACTCCGGGCTGCCGATGGGGGTGTGAGACGTTGAGACGTGAGCGCTCGCACTTCCAACTGCTGTCATATTGTTTGGGCTTGGAGACATTTCGCTCTCATCGCGACTGTTAGTCGACGTCACGTTGTCGCTCTTGTCCGAAGTTGCAGGTACCGATGCTGGCCTCCATCCGAGTGAGGTGAAGTCGACGGGCGGGTACTGAGGCACACTAGGCATCGAGGAATGAGACGACGAGAGGTCCACTGCCACCGGCGAATCTATCAATGCTTCTCTGCAAGGATGGAGGGAGAGACAAGAGAGAGATAGATAGAGATAGATAGATGGAGAGAGAGAGAGATAGAGAGAGAGATAGATAGATAGAGAGAGAGAGAGAGAGAGAGATCAATAAAGCTCAGGACGTTGAGATTGAGTAATGACATAGGGTGCTGCAAGTGCACACATACATGGCTCTGCATATTACTACAGTGAAACCTGTGACTAACGACCACCCCTTGGGGCAAGAGAAAGCGGTCTTTAGCGACAGGTGGTCCTTAGTTAGAGGTTTGCACTGCACAACCAGTCAACCATGCGTGTATATGAATGTGAGACTGTCCGTGCCTGGCGAAGTGGTCTTTAGTACCAGGTTGGTCACTAGTCACGGTGGTCTTTAGTTACAGGTTTTACTGTCAAAACCAGTATTCACGGTACTCTACACTTAACTGGTTTACCGTATATATACTCACAGCCAGCAGAGAAGGTCATACACATGTGTGCAGCTTGTCCACGAATACCGTATAAGGCAAGTATGCGTGACACCTTCTTACAACAAACCGCAAGGTCATAGAAGACGTGTGTGTGTGTGTGTGTGTGTGTGTGTGTGTGTGTGTGTGTGTGTGTGTGTGTGTGTGTGTGTGTGCGTGTGTGTGCGTAAGTCCGTGTGCATGTGAGCGGGCGTGTGTAGAAGTGTGAGATGCAATTCAGCGTGACTTATAACTCACATTAACACACTGCCTCTCTACTGCAAGAGAAGACAGAGTCAGCAAATTGCTATCTGCTGCAGTCTGTTTAGGCAGACTTGAAAATGGGGGAGAGACTATAATATTTAAGTACGTGTACAAACTAAATGTATGACAAGGACCTCCAGCAAAGAACACTAACAACCATGGCCTTGCTGTCAGGCTGGCAATAACAAACAAATATACAAACACACGAACACACAAACACACACATACATACACACACACACAGGCACATGTGCACGCACATACACATTCACGCACACAACCCCTCCCCCCCCCCCCCCCCCCCCCCCACAGACACACACAGACACACTCTCCATCTGCACATCGACAGCACAGCACAGCACAGCACAGCACAGCACAGCACACTATCTCTAACACAGGCTACCTGAGCGCGTTCTCTAATCCACGTCCCATTGTGCCATGACCGGGATGCCTCCTGAGATAACCCATGGTCGGAGAAACATCCTCCGGTATATAATGCCGTGGCGAGTTTGGACTTTGCTCACTTGAGGTTGGTCCCCGTCCTTCACTCATCCAGTTGGAAACCAAACGTGGTCTGCTGCCATTGCCGGCTAAGAACCAACGGCCAAGACAGAGGAAACCACAGGCAAGCTGAGATAAACGTCAGTCCACTCTTGTGAACTGCCATCGATAAGGCAAGCTGAATCGACATTTGTGTATACTTTATTCATGCAGTGTAAAACAGTGGTGACAACGTACAATACAACGATGAAAGAAGGAAGATTTTTTTTTTTTTTACTTGAAACCACGCACCCAATTCGTAAATAGCGAAGAGAACAAATAGGGTCTGCAAACTTGTCTTATTGTCCGTAAACTCCAATGCAGCCACTTACGCATGTATGAAACCTCACTGCTCAATACGGTCTCTTTACTGCGAATCAAATCACATCACCCCCCCCCCCCCCCCCACACACACAGCTCCTCACCAGCCGAGGACGCGGAGCGTGACAGCTGCCCGCTTGTCCACGGAGACGATGATCTAGAACTGAGCGGTGACGGCGGAGTCAAGCTCCGTGACTCAAGTCCAGACGAACGGCCAGCTACCACAACAATAACAATACAAACGGGAGCAAGGAAATGATGATCGGTATCAATAGAAAAGGACCAAAAGTTTACAAGTTATCCATTGTTCGTGTCCAACACTAACAAATATAACTAAGATACCCTCTCTTTTTTCTCACTTTTTCATTTTAATCCTTGGCTCTCAATCCGAGTGGTATCAACAGAATATAATTTTAACCCTTATCCGACCGACAAAGTGCACAAATTCTCAGCCCGAGCGAGACGCCGCGACCCATTTTGATGATAACTTATTTTCCCTTAGGTGAAATTGGCAATCTTGGGCTTTTTATAAAGCTTGAGCCATGAGGAGTTCTCTACAAAGAGTTTCTAGCCTTCGTTTGTACGAGGAACAAAAATTCTTCTCCAATACGTTTGAAGAGAAGTTCGGTTCTTCAACATGTGGACTATCTATAGTCTTAAATTTGTACTTTCAATCTTTCATGCTAATAAATTTTGAATGTAGAAGAACTTCTTTTGAGACCAAAATAGTGCAGATTTGATCAAAAATGAGCGAGTTACAGGTTGATAAAGTCATCGACGGATAGTCGTGGATTTTTGACTGGCTGGTCGGATAAGGGTTTAAATCGCTTACATTATAGATTTTCGCAGTTTTGTTGCCATTAGAAACATATGCAAAACATGGCGGCCGCATTTGATTAGTTTGCAAGAAAAGTGGTTGGGGTTTCAGGACTACAAGAAGTCGTCAGGAGTGGTCATGGAGAAGAGGAAACTGTCCTGTCGCTCCCAAGAAGCGTTCTAAAAGGAATTTTGGGCAGTCTACCGCTGCTACGGCTGTTCCAAACGGCGATTCAAAGTCTGAGTCAAGTAAGGCCGAAAGTGCCAGTGTCCGCTGCAGAGCGAAAGCCTGCTGTAGAATTTCCCAGATGGATTGCTGGCTATTCGTCATAGTCCTGTGCGAGGGACTCGTTGTTGTACTCAAACCCAGACAGTCGTGTCGACACCTGTTATTCAAGTGATTGAGAGGCGATTCTGAGAGCGCCGCTAGTGTTTCTGAGGCTGACAGTGACGAAGGCAGTTCTCCTCAAGACTCTGAGCTAGGCAGTGACGAAGGCAGTTCTCCTCAAGACTCTGAGCTAAGCAAAGACGAAGGCAGCTTTCCTCAATACTCTGAGCTAGGCAGTGACGAAGGCAGTTCTCTTCAAGACTCTGAGTTAGGCAGTGACGAAGGCAGTTCTCCTCAAGACTCTGAGCTAAGCAGTGACGAAGGCAGCTCTCCCCAAGATTCTGAGCTAGGCAGTAGCGATGGCAGTGATCAAGAGTGTGCTGGATATCGCCTTGTTGACATGGAGTGCCTGCAGACAAATTGTCTCAGACATTTGTGCTTGCAAAATTTGTAGAACTGGCAGTTTGATTATCAAGGAGACCGATCATGCTGGCTTTCATAGCTAGTTGCATATCTTTAGTTTGTAGCAATGCTGGCTGCGATGGTATGAACAAAGATCCACCTATACCCAGGTCCGAGCAGTATTCTTATGATTGTAATAGACGCAGTGTGCTTGCGACGAGGTCAATAGGAAAGGGTCAAAGGGGTCTGTGTAAATTCTGCGGTATCAGGAAACTGCCACCACCACCTGTATTAAAGTCAACTTTCCAGCTTCATCAGAACGCCTTGCAGGTCGCTCCAAATATGCATGCCTCTTTAGCAAGATAGAGAAGACTGAGCAAGGAAATCTTAACTCGACGAACCTAGACGGGCTGGCGAAGAAGAGGCTAAAGGAAAACCTGCCGGACGCTTTCACGAAATTCATGCCTACACGTGCACCGAATGCGATCATCCTGAGGTGTTCCACCTCTGCCAAGCATTCGTGAAGAAGTACACCAGTCTGGGTGATCTCAACGAGGCCTATTCGAAAGCGAGGGTGATGCCCTAAATGCACATACTTCGAAGTAGCCACATACAATGTGCCTAGAATGATTGCAGCCAACAACAGAATAGCCCGTTGTTGATAGCAGAGTGCAGCAAGCAGCCCGGGAGGTGCAGGCGTTGACCTTGAGCAAGCAGAAGAAAAGATGAGATCAAATTGCTGAAGTAACGTTTGACGGCACATGGATAAAGCGCGGCTTCGCATCTCTGCACGGTGTATTCACATGCATTGACTGGCAAGTTGGTCGTGTTCCGGATTTCCATATCAGAACAAAGTACTGTCATGGATGCAAGCAGTGGATGCGGAAGAGAGAGAGAGAGAGAGAGAGAGAGAGAGAGAGAGAGAGAGAGAGAGAGAGAGAGAGAGAGAGAGAGAGAGACAGAGAGAGAGAGAGAGACAGAGAGAGAGAGACAGAGAGAGAGAGAGAGAGAGCATGACAATATCACGGCTGCTGAATGCCAAGCATGGAAGGCTGACCACGCTAAAACCTGTAAAATCAATACGGATCGATCTGCTCCAGGCAGTGAGGCCGAGGCTGCTGTTCCTCTGTGACAGCGGTCCCAGTAGAATAGGGATCTTGAGTACCATAATTATATTGTATTTATCGGTGATGGTGACTCGAAAAGTTATTCTGCAGTCGTCGAATCTCAGTTGTATCGGCCGGGTTCCCCAGTGGAAAAAGGAAGAATTCGTTGGACATACGCAGAAGCGCATTTGTGTACAACCTGGCCTGAAGTATGTTCAATTTCTCAAATTCCGGTGTGTTGATTCATGAAACTCGGCGGTTGTCGATGTCATCCTCGACATTTGCACATTTTTAAAATTTTGTGGCTTGCGTCGCCTGAAGAAGAATCCGAACGGCCATACATTAGATGATGGAAGGCCAATCGGTGGCCAGGGGAGACTGAGTGACAAGAGTGTCGACATAGTGCAGGCCTATCACGGCAATGCCATCGGGGAGCACGAGAATAATTAGCATGGCATAGCGAGAGCAATTCGGGCCAGCCCCAGTTATTATGTCTCAAGTGATAATAATCAATTGCACATGTTCTGTCCAACTGGTCCTGAATTTTGGTGTGGCTGGCAGCTCGTTCGAGCTGGAAAGCGAGATTCTTAAGAGCATCGCAACATCACACCAGCTGCTGTGATGAAGGCAGTCAAACCGATCTACCCGCGGCTCAAGGAGAAACTGCGGTGGTCAATAGTATTGATGCTTAAGAGAAAGGACCAAAATGTCACGAGCTTGGTGGATAGCTAGTCATAACTCGTACATTATGGTCCTTTCTACTTCAGCAGTTTACCGTCTTTCCCCTCGCCCGCTACGACGCGATATTGGGCAAGCCCTGGTTGACTAGGAACAACCCACGAATCAATTTCCGGACCAACGACATAATCGTGGACGGGAATGGCCTGCCAAGTGCACCTTCTCAGGACAAGGACGGAGACTCGCAAATCGAAAACATGTTCATTTCTGGCTGTCAGGCTAGTCATGCGCTCAGAAATGGCGAACAAGGATTCTTAGCATGGGTCACAGCTGGGGACGACTCTGGTCTTGATCTACCTCTGAGTATCCCCAACTCTAACAATCCCGAAGTTGCTGACTTGCTTCGTTGTGAAATGTGGGAGCCGTTGATGCAATGCCCCAAGAACAGAGCCCCTTGCAGTCGTAATCTCGCTCAAATGCTGGAGTATTTACCTGTTCAGTCAATTTGAGCTCCTCACTGACAATATGGCAGTGGTTCACTTGAGAACCAAAACCCCACCTTACTAAGCGCGAGGCCAGGTGGGTGGAGTTTTGGGCAGATTATCATTATTCTGTTCACCACAAGCCAGGACGAGAGAACGTCGCAGAACCACTATCACGTCGCCAATGGGACGACTCCATTTCTAAGTTTTGCTACAGTCAGACCTCGCTTATCCGGTCCTCTTTTATCCGGATCGGATCCTTCGCCACCTGGCGGAAAATCGTTGGTTACCGATTTACAGCATATGTCATGCATACATACAGTACGTGTGTTCGATTATCCGGTTCCCTCGCCTATCCGGACATTTTAGTGGAAAAAAGGGATGTGTGCGGTTATGCGAGGTCTGACTGTACGTTGTATTGGTACGAGTCCACTACACAGCTGACATGGTGGTCTCCCACCTAATGCCACCCCACAGCCAGGGTTAATAGAGAAGACTGATGGTCACTTTTAAAGAACCCAGGGTTTTCTGTAACAAGGCCATGCCTGTTGGGACTCCCCTAGACAAATAATAAATACTACTACTAAGAGCTTCAGTGCATCTCATCGCATGGCTCGCCGGCCAGTGAAGACAATCCTACCACGGTACTGCAGTGCTGCTCAATGAAATCCAGTCGCGGCACTCAAGTTTGCGCCTTGCACCATTACGCAGCCCAGTGTCCGCAGGTGTCGGGCTGCGCAACGCCCGGCGCGTACTTGAGTGACGCGACTGGATTTCATTCAGCAACACTGTACAATGCATGGGTGCATTGCACACGTGCAGCCGGACTTAGGAGTAACAGAACTTATGCATGTGTGATGTTACTTGCACACCCGCACACACACATGCACATCATGTACCATGTACTGTATACGCCCGTCGCAAGAGAAGGACGCAAATCTGCAAATGCCCAGATCCACAGATTTTCTCTTTATAACAACGATAGTGGATCTGATTCTGATTGAAACAGATCAAGGCAAGCGCCAGACAACTGTCTAATCCACACAACTGGCGAAGCCATGTGAATCGACTTCCCCCCCCCAATGCATACCCAGGTGTGCATAGGTAACTGTCTTGGCGGTCCTATTTCGATGTACACACACGCACACACACACACACGCACACACACACACACGCACACACACACACACACACACACGCGCGCGCACACTCGCACCCCCCACCTCCACATAGCACGTGCTTCAACAGGTACCAATCTCGAATCAGGGAGCACATTTCAACAGAACACGTTTTACTCACAGGCAGTTAGTGGAATACTGGAGATAGAGGATGACTGCGACACAAACACATCACTGCTTTCACCACCCCCACCACCAGTGGACACTCCACTATGACAGGTAGAGCGGCTGCTGGCACTGGGCGTCGATGAACTGGCGCGCGACATGCAGGCCGCAGCGCCGAGCACGCCGAGCGACGCCTGGCACAGCAAGTCGTACTGCTCCGCCGTCACAAACACGTTGAGCAGGCGTACGCTGGACGGTATGCGGTCGCCTGTGTGCGCAGGCGTCAACAAGCAAACAAACACGACAAAACACACACACACCATGTACCATGAATCCACCCGTCGCAAGACACACATACCCATACACTCACGCATGCACGCGCGCGCACACACACACACGCACCTTGGACGCGCTGCCATATTCTGGCTACGCGGACCCCATGGGGGGGGGGGGGGGGGTTGAGCAGGTTCGGAACAGTAGGGGCGATGACGGGATAGGTCCTGTGGTCTACTGAAACGCCAACCGCAATTGCAACACACACACACGCACCCCCCCCCCCCCCCCCAACACACACACATGCCAACACACTGTACTGTACTGTACTTGCTCACTGCCATGAGCTGGCCACATGGGTCATCCGTTGGGAGAGCAGAGAGAAGAGATCTTGGAAAGACGATTCAATTGGCTACTACAATTGTAGTATTGAACCGTCCAACGGTAGACAACCCCGAAATACCCAACCTACGGGTGGACTTTAAATATGCCTCCACTCATGGGTTCACCACACCGGACAAACATCTGAAAGAACGTGTGGAAGACAGCATGGCTATTAGCAACACCACCAGGTATTTTGTACATATTCAGTGGGTCGTTCCGATGCACAAACATAGACATTTCCAATCCCGCATGACATCACCACAGTGCATGGGAGATTACATCATCAGCGCGTCACCCTTACCGATTGCAGTGGGGAGGGGAATCCCCGGGTGATCGACAGGGCTGTCATCCTGAGGTAAGGAGCAGATATGAATGGACAGAAGACAAAACCGGTATTAGCATACATCTTGTTTGTTTGTATTTTACTTCACCAGGTACACAGGCATTTCTGCCTTCTCGTCTAACCATCAGGCTAGACTCTCAATAACAGATGAATCTTGCATTGCTGGGAATCTAGAAATTCATTTCTAAGAAGAAGAAAAAAAAAGCCGACATACCTCAGACCTCTCTGGTGAGAACATCAGTGATAGACAGTGATGAGTCAAGATTGGCTCAAGCTGAGTACACAGTATCCTGAATTCGTCAGCACACACGGAGGCACACATGCACACACACAGACACATACACGCGTGCGCGCACACTCACACACACACACACACACACACACACACACACACACGCACACACACACACATACGTGCACACACGCACACGTACACGCACGCACACGTACACACACAATATACCATGTACACCCGTCGCAAGAGAAGCACGCATGTCTGCCAATACTGGACCTACACACACTGATATTCAATAGCAGACAAGACCCAAAAGAAACAGATCAAGACTGGCTTGCAATCCCTGTGGCTGCATACTATTAGCATGCATAGGAAACACGCACACACACGTGCGTACGCGCGCGCTGACACACACACACGTCCGCATGCCCACACACTTACCGGCTTTGGAAGAGAATTGCACCACCAAGCACTGAGGGTAAGCGCTGACCCGACTGCAAGATATGACTAGCCTGCAAGAAGAGATGTCCCTCTCTCTACACACAGAAAGCAAGAACAGTAACTAGGGCTGGGTCGGGTAGCATTTTATTCTGGTATCGGGTTCGGGTAATTTTCCACGGGTAGCACGGGTACCCGATCGGGTAATGTTTCCATGGTAACACCACAATGCACCCCTTCCCTTACAAACTGGGTAGACATGCGGAGTATTACATGCTGAGTATTACATGCATGTGTACACGTGCACTGTACACGATGTCATCTGCAACTTTGGGTTTTCGGGTACTACAGTATTCTGTACCCGTCTACCCGAGGTCCTCACAGGTAGCACGGGTACCCGACTACCCGAGGTCCTCACAGGTAGCACGGGTACCCGACTACCCGAGGTCCTCACAGGTAGCACGGGTACCCGACTACCCGTGCACACCACTAACAGTAACACACACCACCCGACAAGGGGGTGTCAAAAGACCGCCAGATTTTACAAAATTTGGACAGGCATAAAAAATGCATGGAGAAGCAGGTCAAATACAGAGATTTTGGAGTTTTTAAAAGTGGGTTTGAGATTTATTTCGGCCAAAATCTGGCTTCAAAAGTCAATGCCACTATTTTAACTGAACGGACTGTACAGTAAAAGCTGTCAAGGCAACCACTCTCGGATAAGGCGACCACCTGCCCTAGAAGACCACCGCAACCAGGACCAAGGGATGCTATTTCCAGTCAAATGACCCTGGATGAGGAGACCACCTGGTATCAGAGACCACATTTTGAAGGTCCCTTGAGCGGTCGTCTTAGACAGGTTTCACTGTAGTTGAAGCGGTGAATGCTTTCCCCGTGTCTTACCTTTGGTAGAGGTACGTAAGGTAACGGATGGAAGAGTGATGCAGTGCTGCTGCCAAAGCGACGTACAAACGGTAGGTAGCACGACCAGATGGTCGAGACCAAGTAGCGGAACGTGTCCAGGTCTTTCTGCGCTTGCTGTAAGCCGTGCAAACAACAACAACAACAACAACAACAACAACAGCAGCAACAGCAGCAGCAGCAGCAGCAGCAACAGCAACAGCAAAGATACAGACAGGTCGCATCAAAAAAATTCGACAGTGTGAGCTCAGTGCGATAGGATGGACTTATATAGACCTAGCGCTCAACTGTCATCGTGAGAAATCATCAACAGGCATGTCCAGCAAGTCGTGAAACGAGTGCACTGCGAGTGCGCTGACAGAACGCTGCATGTCCAGATGGGCATGCGTCGCCAGCTGCACTGGCGACGTGCTCGCGTCACAACCTGCTACACATCATCTCCAACGACATTCACTGCAAACAAGAGATCACATCCAAGATCGTAAAAAAAATTCTTTAATGGGATGTATGCATCTAAGATGGCCGTCACCTTTTTGCGGGGCAAGTTACCCCATACTTGGCAGGTACAACCCGTTATAGTACATTTATGAGTATGACCTCACAAAGTTCACGACCTTTTATGCAGAGCTGGTATCACAGTGTGTACGGTTGTAGTGGACTTGGCCCGCAAAACCTAATGGCGGGAAATTGATGCATACATCCCATTGCACACTTTAGATGCTCTACCCTCGCCACGACAAAACTCACCAGATGTACTCGCTCCAGACTGCCATGAAAGAACGTAAAGACATCGAAGAGCTTGTCCAGTAAGCGTTGCAGGCGATAGGATGACTCCTTCAGTGGTGCAGACAACGCCTGTGCACACAACACAGGAAAGCAGAACGAAAGACAGAAGGTGAGTACATCATCAGGCGTGTTCAAAGAGTGTAGGCTATTTGGCACATCAAGTGTATGAACACACATAAACATACACAAACAGACACACATACACACACGCACACACACACACACACACACACACACATGTGCGCACACACACGCACATATGCACACACTCACATACCTGATACATCAAGTATTTATGAACACACACACACACACACACACACAACACACACACCACACACAGATCCCCACACATCCCCACTCCACACACCCGACAAACAATACATGATTGTTAGCAGCAGACTCACCAGCGTGTATCTACCCCAGTGGCGCAGGGCTATTTGCTCCTTTCGAAACGTCACAAGTGTGGGCATTTCACCACTCAGATCCACCAGCGCTTGACTGACACCCATCATCTGCATTATCCGATGCTGCGTCTCAATTGACTACACGTGCACACACAGATACAAACATGAACGGCAGAGGCATGGGCACAGAGAAACACACACGTCAATGGGCACTGTGCATGCTACTGGATATCTGCTAACTGCCCACTTTCACAGCGAGTGTACAGGTAACGTGGGACTGGGTCTGGTGCTGTTGTGTGTGTGTGTGTGTTCGTGTGTGTGTGTGTGCGCGTGTCTGTGCTTGCATGTGTGTCCGTGTCTGTGCTTGCATGTGTGTCCGTTCATGCATTCGTGTGCGTGCGCGTGTACGTGCAAACATAGGTGTGCATGTGTGTGTGTGTGTGTGTGTGTGTGTGTGTGTGTGTGTGTGTGTGTGTGTGTGTGTGTGTGTGTGTGTGTGTGTGTGTGTGTGTGTGTGTGTGTGTGTGTGTGTGTGTGCTTCTCATGTACATATCCATTCATAACCCGACGTAGCTCGACACAGGCCTACTGCTTACATCTAGCATGTCGCCCTTGAACTCATTCTCTGGGTAATAGTAGAGGACCGCTTCGTCCAGCTGTCCCTCCTCGCCATGCATGGCGGTTTGGTCGTACATGAAGAACAGCTCTCCATGACACGTTGGCCTCGTGCTAGCCTGCTGCTCGGCCGTCTGAGATGCCGGCATGGCTGCGTGGCAGCGAAGCAACAACTGCTACGTAAGAGATGGGCTGAGAAATCCAACCAGCAAATGCATGCCTTCTGACTTTGTCGTATTTCGCAACGCGACACGCGCACAGGCGCGGCCAGCGAATCATATACGGGTAGGGACGTGCATACTAGGGCGTCAAGTCCCCGAACACGCAAAGGAACAATGACGGGCAACGTTGCTGTTTCAGCTACTTTCCCCAAGACAATCTGCGTTCGAAGTAGGCTGCTGACCATTTCAAAACGTCTTGTCACAAGTTTTTGCTGCATAACACTTTTTAGTTTTGGTAAAAGAAAAGGGCAAAAAGTCCAGAATGTGCGTACACGCTATCTCCGCGTCATCACGCTTCAACAAAACGCCATTTTCTGTTCCCAGGTGACAAACTCCCGAGCATTCGCTCAGTTGCGTGAAAAAGCACAAGCAAATCGATGGGATCACGGGACTTGACCGTGACTACGACGTAATACTTTTGAAAATCGTTGGCGAGCAGGTCCCTTTATCCGTTTTAATTTTGAGGACACATACATGCATGGCAAGAAAACCAGCCCAAATACAAACGGCTTTTGAGTTTTGTACGAACCACTCGCTTGCAAGCTTGAGTCGCTTCCTCCTGCATCCTGTCCCAAAAAAAGGCAAAAGGCAAACAGCCCACGTTCCACACAAATTTTTATTTGAGGCAAATCAATGTCAAGTGATCTACGTACCGATATCGCGATATCGATGTGGATGATTATGTGTGGCACTTTTCCTGTGAGTTTCTTGGAAGTTTTGCTCAGTTGCTATTAATTTTATTAGCCTGGCTTGGGTAGTGTTGACGGTTTGAACACCTCCTGTGTGTAGGCTTCGATAAAAGTTTTTCTTTCTTTCAAACGACAACTTTCCCTGTCATAGTCAAGTGCCATACAGATCTTGTGAAGGAACGCCTTATTTTCATGTCTGATCGACGCTGGTAGCAACAATGGAGATTCGCAGACGGAGAACAAGCTTGGCCCTGCCCCAGGACGAATTGAGCACACAGCCGCTCGACCGCGTTGGCGCGGATGACTTCTACGAGAGCTACGAGCCGAAGGGAGACTTGGGAAAGTAGGTTGAATTCTTGACACATCCTGGCCTGGATGACTTGTGTGTCTGATCTGTGAATTTGTTTGTAGATTTAAAAAAAAGTATACATAATTATTGCATATGATGTGGGGCTGAATTATTGTGTCGTTTTATGCGCTCATTTGATTTTCTCCATGCAATATCGTGTGGAGTGGATCAGCTTTGCACGGTGACCTACGGGTATTATCCATCAAATAATTGAACAAAGGGGCGATCATTTAATATTCGTACTTTTAAAATTTGATAACCGTGATCAATAAGACAAGCTGAATCGACGTATACTTTATTCTTGCAATGTAAAACGGTGGAGACAATGTGCAATAAAACGATGAAATAGCAAGAAATAGTGTAGAGAAAAAGTACAAACAATTACAAACAAGTTTTCGTCCAACACTCATCAGGAATCGTCGTTGTATTAAAGGACACTGAAACAAAATTGAACTATCAGGGATGAATTTATCCGGTATCGCATCGCAGTTTGCGATTCAAAATCGATCGAGTGCGATTCAAAAATCACAGCGACTCGCAGGAAACTGCGATGCATAAACGGCACTGCATACTGTACCTCGCGCAGTCAGTAAAAGTGATGCTGTGACTGTGTCGTACACTCACCATGCTCGCTATACCTGTACAGTGCACAGACCCCGCTTTTTTCTCAGGAAGGTGTGATTTCTAGTACATGTAGTACCTGTGAACTGTTGCTGGCTCCGCGTGCACATACTGACTGTACTGGTGTCCTACTTGAACTACACGTACCACTTTGCGCGGCTTTCATTCAGTAAGTTCAGTATTTCATGTACTTTCCGTACTGACAAGCATCATCTTTCCTCCACGATCCCGGCGGAGGTCTTGTTTTTTTCTCTTCTTTCTGGTTTACTTACCTCTTTTCGTGATATTATAGCTTTCTGCTTGTAGCCAGTCGGTCTTTCTGGTCGTGAGGAAATTCTGGAATCGCGTTCGTCCTTCTCTCTGTAGTTTTTGTCTAGTCTGGTTCTGCCTCCAACATGTCTGTAAGACACATCACCTTTGAGAAGTGGGTGGCAGAGGTCGATGTCGAGAGGAAATGGCTTCGTTCTGAGAAAGCTACAGGTGCAGCGGTGACCGCGGCTGATTTTCTGCCAGCTATGCAGACAGCACGAGTCCTCCCTCCGTGGGCTGAGAAATTTTAGTCGGTCTTTTGTGGATGGGATTTCGGGGACTGCTCTGAAGAAGGACAACGTGGTGAAACATTCGAAGTCGGATATGTATAGCAAGGCGGTAGGAATGTCGGTCCTGGACGGACTTTTTTTGTGGAATAAGAAATGCTAATCAAAAATCAAGGACTGCTACGCATTTTGGCGTTTGCGTCGCGAAAACTGCTATGCAAAAAAATGACAGTAAAATCATCCCTGACTATTATAGCAAATCTAAGTTAAAGAAATAACACTAAGAGTAAGAACAACAGCAGTGAAATTTACAAGTGTGAATTTTAACAATGAAAGCGAGAGCAATCATGAATGCGTGTGTTAACAATATACTTGTAAATTTCACTGCTGTTGTTCTTAGTGTTTTTTCTCTAACTTAGATTTTCTATAATAGTTCAATTTTGTTTCAACGACGATTCCTGATGAGTGTTGTACGAAAACTTGTTTGAATCCTTATTTTTCTCTACACTATTTCTTCCTGTTTTCATCATTTTATTGCACATTGTCTTCACCGTTTTACACTTCATGAATAAAGTATACACAATGGCGATTCAGAGGCTGCACTGGAGAAGCTGAACGCCTTCCATAGACGTCAACTACGGAACTTGTTCGGAATTAGGTATCCCGCCATCATCTCCAACAAAGACCTATATTCCAGAGCATACACACAGCCACTTTCGCACACCGTTGCTGTCCGCCGTTTCCGGATGTTGGGTCATGTTCTGAGGATGCCCTCAGATGCCCACCACAGCAGGCAATGGACAACTACTTCCGTCGAGATGTCACCGGTGTGCGTGGACGCCCGAAATCGAACCTGGCCATGGCAGTCAAGGCAAGCACAGCTGCCAGAGACATGCCACTGAAGACCATGACTGATCTGAATGGGCTCAGAATGCGCGCTTTGGACAAGCAATCATGGAGGGAACTCTCAGCCTGAGCTGGTTTTGCTCGCGGCTGCAACGCACGGGGTAGTGAACCCAGGACAGAAGCGGACCAGGCATCATGACTTTGCACATCTATCGTTATGCTGCTTCATTACGCAACCTGTTTTATTATTATTATTATTATTATTATTATTATTCGTGTCCTGGTGGTGGCAGTCAATTTTTTCTTCAGACTTTTCCCGTTTGTCTCTTTCCCTCAAATCAGTCAATATTTTATGACTTGGGGCTCCCCGCGTGCTAGTTTGTACGTGAAGTGTGTGGGTTACAGTGAGGGCTGCGTCCCACCCGCCTGTGTGGATTCACAGGAAGTGTGAGTTACGAAGTCTGAAGAAAATGTTGAACGGCCTCTGCTGGGATGACGACTACACCATAGCTCAGTGGTTAGAGCATCGCTGGCTACAAGCGAGGGTCCCTGGTTCGTGTCCTGGTGGTGGCAGTCAATTTTTTCTTCAGACTTTTCCCGTTTGTCTCTTTCCCTCAAATCAGTCAATATTTTATGACTTGGGGCTCCCCGCGTGCTAGTTTGTACGTGAAGTGTGTGGGTTACAGTGAGGGCTGCGTCCCACCCGCCTGTGTGGATTCACAGGAAGTGTGAGTTACGAAGTCTGAAGAAAATGTTGAACGGCCTCTGCTGGGATGACGACTACACCATAGCTCAGTGGTTAGAGCATCGCTGGCTACAAGCGAGGGTCCCTGGTTCGAGTCCTGGTGGTGGCAGTCAATTTTTTCTTCAGACTTTTCCCGTTTGTCTCTTTCCCTCAAATCAGTCATTATTATTATTATTATTATTATTTCGTAATACGTATTCGCATGCAACGACGCAAATCCACACAATTCAGTAGACACTTTTTCTATCAAACGTTTTCTTTCCCTTCTCTTCAGGATAGTACAGGGAATGTTGGAAATTAGAAAAACACATAACTATATAGAGAATGAAAGAAAGAAAAAGTCAACACTTCAACATAGGTGTTAAAAATGATTAAAGTGTTAAAAACTCAAAAACAAACAGCTGCAAGTTGTAGACAAACACGTTGAACACATCAGGGAACACAGAAAACGTTTGATAGAAAAAGTGTCTACTGAATTGTGTGGATTTGCGTCGTTGCATGCGAATACGTATTACGAAACTGTTTTTCCCACCGCCTCCAAACTACTGTTTGAATTATTATTATTATTATTATCTGGTTTGAGGGAAAGAGACAAACGGGAAAAGTCTGAAGAAAAATTGACTGTCACCACCAGGACTCGAACCAGGGACCCTCGCTTGTAGCCAGCGATGCTCTAACCACTGAGCTATGGTGTAGTCGTCATCCCAGCAGAGGCCGTTCAATATTTTCTTCAGACTTCGTAACTCACACTTCCTGTGAATCCACACAGGCGGGTGGGACGCAGCCCTCACTGTAACCCACACACTTCACGTACAAACTAGCACGCGGGGAGCCCCAAGTCATAATATATTATCTGGTTTGAGGGAAAGAGACAAACGGGAAAAGTCTGAAGAAAAAATTGACTGTCACCACCAGGACTCGAACCAGGGACCCTCGCTTGTAGCCAGCGATGCTCTAACCACTGAGCTATGGTGTAGTCGTCATCCCAGCAGAGGCCGTTCAATATTTTATTATTATTATTAGTGGCGATTCAGCTTGTTTTATTGATCGCGGATATCACGTTATTAGTGAGGTTCTGCCACACGGTAAAACGTGCCAAAGTACGTATGGAAACATCGCCGCGGTACGGGATCAAGTTTCATACGGATTTTTTCATACCGTTTTCCGTGTGGAGCGCGCTTCACACGGACTGGACTCCGTGTGAAAACTGAGCGTACAGAGTACATGTGGCGGGGTGTTCGTGCATGCTATGAGCATGCTACGTACAGCAGAACCGGTGCAACGTACGAAAAATCCGTGTCAAACTTCACTGCAGTTGACACGGAGTTCCGTACGTAGTTCCGTGTAGCAGAACCTCTCTATTGTCTCCTCGTCGTTTGTTCAAATACTTTTAAAATTACTTATTATGATTGAATGGGCGAATCCCGATCAGGTGCGCTCCGATTGAGCTTGATCGTTTGGCCGAATCCGATCAAATCCGGAGTAGGTGTACTTGGAGTGGAATCCGACCACCCCCCCCCCCCCCCCCCCCCCCCACACCGGGAGTGGCTGGAGTGGAAATGGACTTTCGTGTTTTTGGACGGCTTTCACAGAATCCCCCAGATATGCGTACATGCTGCGTACTACACCCTTGTTTTGTTCGATTGGGCCAGCGTTGCTCAGACCACACCGCCTGCTCGCACTCAATCCAGATTTGCCAATCGATGACACCCTGACTGACATCACCATCAGCCAGAATTTAAATGAGGCTCCTTCCAGTGCATTACATCATTGATGTCCATTTGTGGCAGTCGCACTGTCCCCTATGGCAAGTGTCGGATTTCACTTACCACGGCTGTATATAGGACGGTGGGGTTCTGGTATGGTGTGCGCATGTGCTTGTGTGGCGCTGCGCGTTGACTTGTGTTTGTTCTAAATCCGTGCCCCCGCACGTCAGTTGAGCCGGTTCTGGTGTCATGTGTTTCCCTTGTATTCTCTTGCAGAGGCTTATCCAGTGTTGTACGGAGGTGTGTACATCGAGAAACTGGCAAAGAGTATGCTGTGAAATTCATCGACAAGACCATCGATATAACCCTAGCCAAGGCCGTTCGCACGGAGATTGATGCCCTGGAGCGTGTCAGCCACCAGTACATCAGTAAGCGTGTGTGTGTGCGTGTTTGTGTGTGTGTGCGTGCGTGCGTGTGTGTGTGTGTTCTGAGCAGATAAGTAAGTGTTAAATCATCACTTTCCTAAGTAAGCAATTGAAAGGTGCGACTGGCAACAATAATAAAAAAAACTGACAAGTTCGCTATTCTAAATCTAAACTGTTGGCGTTGTGTGCACGATCGTTTGTGCTCATGGCTCTGTGTGTTTGTTCGTGTGTACATGTGTGTGTGTGTGTGTGTGTGCGTGTGTGTGTGGTGTGTGTGTGTGTGTGTGTGTATGCATGTGCATGCGTATGTGTGTCCTTGTGCAGTCAAACTACACGAATGGTACCAGAGTCCAGTCTATTTCTTCTTAGTATTTGAACTGTAAGTAGTAGAGTTGTTGCTGCTATTTTTGTCAGGGTTCTGATAACGTTACATAATGGATGTTCATGTGACATGCATATAATGTTGCAGTCTGATGTGGACGTAGGTCAGTTTCTCGCACACCGGCTGATGCTGCTGCTGCTGTTCAACAAGCGTCTGTTATTTTCTATGCTGTGTCTTTTTTCTTGCAGGGCAGCCCACGGTGAGCTGTTTGACCAGCTGAACAAGGCCGTGCGCTTCTCTGAGATGCGCTCAAGGTGAGATAGAGACACACATGTACACTGTCGACAGTGGCTGCGTTCGATTGCGCACTTGAATCGATTCATGGATGCAATCTCGCCGTTTGATTTCATGTCATGAGCGCTGGAATTGATTCATAACTGGATTCATGAATCGACTCGCGGGCATACCAGTAATCGAACGCACTCAGTGGCGGTTAGTGAAATCCGACCCCAGCTCGGTGCAGTCACGTTGGAAAAACCCAGCACACGCTTCTAACACTGCCCAAGTAGAGACTGCCGGAACCGGTGCTGCACTCGGGCACGACAATCAGGGGTCGGTTTTCAATTGCCAACACTGTACAAAGATACAGGCGAACAGACTACAGTACCGCAGCGCCAAAGAAGAACGGACAGGCTAGAATTTCACCAGACTTAGTATAGCGATGTGTACGCGGTGATTCCACCTGGCAGAGGCTGGTACATGAAAATCAGAACAGCCCAGGCTACGAGCTGGCCCCCAGTTCTTCGTTACCAGACAGACGGGACACAGCACAGACAGACAGACAGATAGCTGTTTGGGCTTGCAGCAAATGAACAATTTGACGCTGTACACGAGCGTTGCGTGGCCAGTGGCGTTGCGTATTCACTACGTATATGGTATGCATTGTGAGGAACTCCTGTTTGTTGCGTGCACACTTCATCATACAGTCAGACCTCGCTTATCCGGTCCTCTTTTATCCGGATCCCTCGTCATCCGGAAGAAAATAGCTGGTTACATATTTACAGCATACGTGATGCAGCCAACATAAGCAGTGTTCGGTTATCCGGTTCCCTCGCCTATCCGGTTATTTTTGTGGAAAACAGATGTATGCGGTTAAGCGAGGTCTGACTGTATCGTGGTGTTGATACGAACGTGGTTTTAATGCACGGTGATGCTCAATGAAATCTGGTCGCCGCGAATCAAGTTTGCGCCCTGCACCATTTCGCAACCCAGTGCTCACAGGTCTGGGGCTGCGCAACGCCCGGCTTGTACTCGAGTGACTCGCCTGGATTTCGTTGATCAGTATTGTTCCTGGACTCCGCCAGTATTGGAACGCACAATAGGATTCTTTTCATGTTGTTGTTGTTGTGTAGAATGGTGATGAAGCAGTTGTTACTTGCCATCGAGCATATCCATTCGCTCAACATCGTTCACAGAGACGTCAAGGTATGCTACGTCTGTGCGCTTTCAGCTTCTTGGTGACCTTTTGTGTGTGTGTGTGTGTGTGTGTGTGTGTGTGTGTGTGTGTGTGTGTGTGTGTGTGTGTGTGTGTGTGTGTGTGTGTGTGTGTGTGTGTGTGTGTGTGTGTGTGTGTGTGTGTGTGTGTGTGTGTGTGTGTGTGTGTGTGTGTGTGTGTGTGTGTGTGTGTGTGTGTGTGTGTGTGTGTGTGTGTGTGTGTGTGTGTGTGTGTGTGTGTGTGTGTGTGTGTGTGTGTGTGTGTGTGTGTGTGTGTGTGTGTGTGTGTGTGTGTGTGTGTGTGTGTGTGTGTGTGTGTGTGTGTGTGTGTGTGTGTGTGTGTGTGTGTGTGTGTGTGTGTGTGTGTGTGTGTGTGTGTGTGTGTGTGTGTGTGTGTGTGTGTGTGTGTGTGTGTGTGTGTGTGTGTGTGTGTGTGTGTGTGTGTGTGTGTGTGTGTGTGTGTGTGTGTGTGTGTGTGTGTGTGTGTGTGTGTGTGTGTGTGTGTGTGTGTGTGTGTGTGTGTGTGTGTGTGTGTGTGTGTGTGTGTGTGTGTGTGTGTGTGTGTGTGTGTGTGTGTGTGTGTGTGTGTGTGTGTGTGTGTGTGTGTGTGTGTGTGTGTGTGTGTGTGTGGGTGTGTGTGTGGGTGCGTGCGTGCGTGCGTGCGTGCGTGCGTGCGTGTGCGTGTGTGTGAGCGAGTGTGTATGGCTGCATGTTCGGAGAGAGATAACTGGTGTGGAGGTTCCATGATTGATGGGGTTCACACTTCACCGTAAGTTGGTGCACCAGCATCCACTTCTGATGTTATGTGGTGTAAATCACTCAGCATCCACTTCTGATGTTATGTGGTGTAAATCACTAGTTATGTGGTGTAAATCACTAGTTATGTGGTGTAAATCACTAGTTATGTGGTGTAAATCACTAGTTATGTGGTGTAAATCACTAGTTATGTGGTGTAAATCACTAGTTATGTGGTGTAAATCACTAGTTATGTGGTGTAAATCACTAGTTATGTGGTGTAAATCACTAGTTATGTGGTGTAAATCACTAGTTATGTGGTGTAAATCACTAGTTATGTGGTGTAAATCACTAGTTATGTGGTGTAAATCACTAGTTATGTGGTGTAAATCACTAGTTATGTGGTGTAAATCACTAGTTATGTGGTGTAAATCACTAGTTATGTGGTGTAAATCACTAGTTATGTGGTGTAAATCACTAGTTATGTGGTGTAAATCACTAGTTATGTGGTGTAAATCACTAGTTATGTGGTGTAAATCACTAGGGTACCTGTAGTGGGCATCTGGGTTCCCCGTGCACGCACGCCCACACACACACACACACACACACCTCAGACCTCAGACCTGCCCATCGCGGAAGCGATGATAGCGAACAGCTATGTTAGACTTGGCAACTTGTGCTGGGATTACACCATTCAGCAGCTTGCAAGGCTGATGAATTGACCGCCGCTATTTTTAGCCTGGTATCCACCACACAGCTGATTGAATTGACTTTTTCTGGCCAGTGAATCCCTATTTTTCATTAATGTTTCCATTTTTTCTTCTTACACACACACACACACACACATGCTCTCTCTCTCTCTCTCTCTCTCTCTCTCTCTCTCTCTCTCTCTCTCTCTCTCTCTCTCTCTCTCTCTCTCTCTCTCTCTCTCTCTCTCTCTCTCTCTCTCTCTCTCTCTCTCCTTTGCCTCGCTCTGATTCCCTGTGTGCGTGTGTGTGTGCGTGCGCATGTGTGCATGTTTGTGTTTGTTTCCGTGTCTGCTTCAGCCGGAGAATATTCTACTTGGGGAAAACTTCAATGTTCGACTTTCAGATTTCGGCTTTGCTGCGGTCATACCTAACGACACATCATTGAGAGGTACAACTGTAAATACATGGAAGCGATCAGAGATGAGATGTCAACACCCTCGTCCAACTATTGTAGGGGTCCTCTCAAAAGGCTTTTGTCGTCCCTGATACGAACATTCAATCGGGTTGCGAGCCAAAATCGCAAGTCAACTGACACCAAGAGTACTCTTGCTGACACTGGACATATACATGTACATGCATGCGATTTTTCGTCGTCCGGCATAGCAAGCTGCGTTCATTTCAGAGGGAGGGGAGGGGATCTGGGGTGCAAAATGAACGATGTTTGTTTCAGGGACGACGAAAAACTTTCCCTGAACAAGTTGTTGTTGTTGTTGTTGTGTGTGTGTGTGTGTGTGTGTGTGTGTGTGTGTGTGTGTGTGTGTGTGTGTGTGTGTGTGTGTGTGTGTGTGTGTGTGTGTGTGTGTGTGTGTGTGTGTGCATTGTTGTTGTTGTTCTCTGATAGAGTTATGTGGAACCCCCGGCTACATGGCTCCTGAAGTGCTCAAGTGCGCCACCTATCCGGATGCACAGGGATACGGCAGGCCCGTCGACATGTGAGCCTCGTTTCAGTGTGTGTGTGTGTGTGTTTGCGTGTGTGTGTATGTGTGTGTGGGAGTGTAGGTACGCGTGTGTGTGTCTTGTGTGCGTGTGTGTATATTAGGGGTGAAAGTTGGCATTGATATCCCGAGTTCGAGTACTCTGATTTTCTCCGATCGAATATTCGAGTATTCTAGTATTCTTCATCTCCTAAAAACTGCACACCAAGGGCCTTAAAATCACATGATAAAAGGTTACAACCCTGATTGAACCGAGTAGCAGTCATTATTCTCGGGTATATTGGACCTATTGGTTGGTGGGTCATTTGGGCTCTCTCTACTCATAAACAGATGTTCACCACACAGTCTGCACATCAATATCTGCCGACGGCTGCTCTGAAACTGCAGATTTCTGTGGTAAATGCATGTACCATGTATGAACGAGTACTCTGATTTATTCCGAGTACGATTATTTTTGAAAAAATCGAGCGAGTACTCGAGTATTCGGTATAATTGTTTCACCCCTAGTGTATATGCACGTGTGTGCGTGTGTGCGCGCGCATGGGCAACGTCAGTGGGCTTGTCCTGGTTGCTGCACTCAATACGTGCATGCAGGCCAGAGTATCTTTCCGTGGCAAGTCCCACACTGACAGCACATCGGCTCTCTCATCTAGTCTTGACTGGATGTGGTGCAGGATGGGCCCGCATAGCAAATACTGAGAGATGCGGAATGCACGCGTGCTGAAGATACAGGCCAGATTGTGCTATTGGGCTCTCAGACATACTAGTGCCCTGGTGCATGTAGCCATTTATATAGCTGTATAGACTACATACAGAAGTGCGAAGAAAATGTTGAGCGGTCTCTGTTGGGATGACGGCTACACCTTAGCCCAGTGGCTAGAGCATCGCTGGCCTCAAGCGAAGGTCCCTTGTTCGAATCCTGGTGGTGACAGTCGATTTTTTCTTCAGACTTTTCCCGTTTGTGTCTTCCCCTCAAACCAGTGAAGACTTTAATAATACGAGTACTTTTATCTCATATAGCTGTGCTAGATTGTGTTGTTGCCATGGTTGTGTTCAAGTGGTGTGTGGAGCAAGGATCTTGTCTGGGAGAAGATTGTGTTGGCTATAGTTATGTTATATCTGTTGGCACTTGAGCATTGCTACTTATCTCGTATTAAATCTAAAAAAAATCTAAAAAATCTACTCTATCAGGCCGGTGCATGTGGTAATGAGAGCTGATTATTCAATTGCACTGTGTGCATGTGTGTGTGCGCGCACACACACACACACACATTTGACGAATATGCAGTATGTGAAGTTGTTCTTGCTCTTTTTCTTGTTCTTGTTGTAAGCTTGCATGCTTGTAACTTGCTTCTGGTCCTCTTTGTCGTCTTCAGGTGGGCATGTGGTGTCATCCTATATACTATGTAAGTGAAGTCGAAATGTGCCATGCAGTATGATACATGTACTATTGTGTGAGTGTGTGTGTGTGTGTGTGTGTGTGTGTGTGTGTGTGTGTGTGTGTGTGTGTGTGTGTGTGTGAGAGTGTGTGTGTGTGTATGTGTGTGTGTCTGAGTATGTGTATGTATGTATGTGTGTGTGTGTGTGTGTGTGTGTGTGTGTGTGTGTGTGTGTGTGTGTGTGTGTGTGTGTGTGTGCGTGCGTGCGTGTGCTCATGCACGTGCACGTATGTGTGTGGGTGTTGTGCACCAATTTGATGTGCTCTTCCTGAGAATACCGATGTTTTTCATGGCGATCTCTTTTGTTGTGTTGTTGTTTCTCCCATTGCTGTAGGTTAGTTGGCTTCCCGCCATTCTGGCATCGCAAGCAAATGCTCATGCTACGGCTGATCATGGATGGAAAATACTCTTTTGCCGCACCGGAGTGGCATGATATAGGTGACTCGGCGAAGGACATGGTAAGTCTGTCTGTCTTTGTCTCTGTCTGCCTTTGTCTCTTTCTGCCTGTCTGTCTCTCTCTCTCTCTCTCTCTCTCTCTCTCTCTCTCTCTCTCTCTCTCTCTCTCTCTCTCTCTCTCTCTCTCTCTCTCTCTCTCTGTCTCTCTCTCTGTCTCTCTCTCTGTCTCTGTCTCTCTCTCTCTCTCTCTCTCTCTGTCTCTCTCTCTGTCTCTCTCTCTGTCTCTCTCTCTGTCTCTGTCTCTCTCTCTGTCTCTCTCTCTGTCTCTCTCTCTGTCTCTCTCTCTCTCTGTCTCTCTCTCTCTGTCTCTCTCTCTGTCTCTCTCTCTGTCTCTCTCTCTGTCTCTCTCTCTGTCTCTCTCTCTGTCTCTCTCTCTGTCTCTCTCTCTGTCTCTCTCTCTGTCTCTCTCTCGGTCTCTCTCTCGGTCTCTCTCTCGGTCTCTCTCTCGGTCTCTCTCTCGGTCTCTCTCTCGGTCTCTCTCTCGGTCTCTCTCTCTGTCTCTCTCTCTGTCTCTCTCTCTGTCTCTCTCTGTCTCTCTCTCTGTCTCTCTCTCTCTCTCTCTCTCTCTCTCTCTCTCTCTCTCTCTCTCTCTCTCTCTCTCTCTCTCTCTCTCTCACACACACACACACACACACACACACACACACACACACACACGCACGCACAATTTCACTTTTTTCTTTCTTTTCTCTGTTGTGTAGTCCAATCGGTTCCTTCTGTCTGGCGGAATGGTGCAGTCATCATTACTCTCTTGTTTGTGGACCTATCTTCCTGTGCACTCGCTCACCTCATTTTTGTTTGTTTCTTTGATTTGAAATTGTTTAGAGCAGATGCAGTTCTGCCTTCTCACCAGAGGAAAACCTCCGGTTCCTACTAAGAATTTATGTATGCATGTACCGGTATGCATGCGTGTTGTTTGTCTCGATTCCATTCTTTAGATCCGTAAACTTCTTGTGGTTGATCCGAATCGCCGGTACACTGTACATCAGGCGTTGGCGCATCCGTTCATCTTAGAGGTACGTTCCGTGTTGCGTGCACCCGCCCTACCCTGGCAACAGCAGCACACTTACATATATTACTAGATCTAGACGACTGTTCTCAGCCGTTGCTCTGAGCGAGAAAACCACGCAGTGTGCTTTGCAGTTCTGGCATGCTTTGCTTCCAACAAGTGCATATGGTGCCGACGAGCCACCGAAGTTGCCCAGCCCAGTCACGCTGGCCAGCACCTTTTTTTGGATCCACATTAAACTTTGGCAGCCCCGGGGGCCGATTGTCGGGATTTTCTGGCACCGACGACTATACGTGTGCATCTCATGCGTCTAAAGGATGCCTCGCGCAGCTTCATTATTCACAAATTGTTTACGGGCAACTCGACTACACTCATGGTGACAACGACCGACACGTTAACAATATTACTGGATTGCGTGTGAAACTGCAGTGCTCACTTGAATGTAGGCAAATTGCCCGCAAACGATTTACGATTGTACAAAAAAATGTCATAATTTGGATGGAGTGTATATAGGAAACGTCACTGAGCACACACATCGGCTATAGAGCGAAACCCTGTGTGAGACGACTGCTCAAGGGACCCGGAAAATGTGCTGCCCACGAGCAGATAGTGGGTCAACCCTGTGCCGGATGGCTGGAAAGTAGACCTTTCGGCCCTGGTCGTAGTGGTCCTCTGGGGTAGGCGGTCACCTTGCCAGAGTGGTTGAATGATAAGCAAGTACCGTAAAAGTCCGTAAATAAGTACGTATTTACTTTCGAATTTAGTGACCACGCCCGTACTAACTTTCGGGTGGGTACTGACTTTCGGGCACGAACTAACTTTCGGACCTGACTTGTGTGTAGTGGAGAAGTCATTTTCATGTTGTGTACATGCTACGTGCTGCATGTGCGCATCATACCGGTACTTATTTCGGGCAGTATGTTTATCGGGCTTGACTTGACTCCAACAGACAGAGCCAAAAGAATGAAGGGGGTATTTCTTTCGGGCAGGTACTTATTTACGGACTTTTACTGTAGTCTGCATACTGTAAGGACTAAGGAGACAAATTTTCGGCCCATTCAAATTCCGGCCTCCCAGGGCTAAAACACATTTTGGCTGCAACAAATTTTCGGCCTGTACTGCTGCTGCCTGTATACACTGCCACACTGAACCTTGCAAAGAAATTTCGGGCTGCAACAAATTTTCGGCCAAATATGATCAGGCCGAGAATATTTAAACAATCGACGAGGAGACAATAGTCGTAAAATGGCGTACCACTGATGACAGTCACAAGAAAACGTTATGGACCTTGACTTTCTTCATTTTTTGCTGTTGTTATGAGTGCACAATTTATCTTATTTATTGCCATTTTAAGGCCGAGAATAGCCGATAATAAATATGTGCCGAATATTTGTTGACTTACAGTAGTCGCTTCAATCCTACTCTACTGCAACTAGCCCAGATGTAACCACAGACAATGGTGGGCTGATGGCTGTGGCCTGTTTTTTTTGTTCTTGGAGCCCATAACTGTTTGCTTTCCCTGAATTCATGGCAGCCAGAAAAATCCGCGCTCAATTTCCAACGTAACCGATTTTGAAGATGTTTGGCTCGTTGGAAAGCTCTTGGGTGAGGATTACAATAAGCCCCACCTCCAGAGCAAAACCTTTGCCTGCCCCAACGCGCTCCGAAAACCAGTGCAGTTCCAGATCTGAGACGAAAGCCATTTACAGCCATTTATGGTCGCTAGCTCGGAACTCCTCTTCTTCCTTTTTTTCCAGTGGAAGCTTACCTTGCCGTGTCTCCGCGCCACGTCGGTCCTGGTACGTGCTGCCTGTCCTGAACCTGGGATAAATCCCTTTCCCTTGCACTGTTGACTCGCAGCACACAATGCAGAAAATGCACGATGTTCGATCGATCGATCGATCGCGGCTCCATCGAACTTCATTGGAGAGACTTCAGACTTGTTTGAGGCGATAGCTGAGAGTTTCCTCTACCTTCTAGGTTGTTAAATTTGTTTAAGATTGGGCAGAGTTACGAACGTATGACTGCACTCACTTGCATACAAATGTGCACTGTTCAATTGCGAACGATGGACGTCAAATGGTTAAAAAACGAAAATACCCACTGATGTCATCGCCTCGTTGATCTGGCTGTGCTTGTGCGTGTTGCACCTGCACTGTTGTCTTCGCTGCCGCATGGTATGTCTGTGCAGGAGGGCACGCGTAGCAAGCGCCGACGGATGGTGCTGAACCGCTTTGTGGTGAGGCGAGTGTGTTGTGACCCCTGTGTGGTCGCATCTTGCTTTCAGCTGCGTATTCTTGCGCTCACCTAATGGCATGCAGACAGAAATAGATCATGATGACACACACACACACACACATGCATACACACGGACATACACACACACGCACACACACACACATACACACACGCGCACACACTCATGCTCATGCTCATACTCCTGCCCATCGCTGAAGCGATGATACCGGTCAAACTATGTTTGACATATCAACTTGTGCTGGGATTACACCATTCAACAGCTTGCAAGGCTGATGAATTGCATGAACACACGCACACGCACACACACACACACACACACACACACACACACACACACACACACACACACACACACACACACACACACACACACAGGATCGATTGGGAACACTCATGTACGCAAACAACCACCATCACTAACTCTCCTACTCATTTCTGTACACCCGGGGCACGTGCCTTCCAACTTTGGGAAGACAGCTTATTTGTAGGCTTGTGGGAGTAGGTGTGCATTTGTGTTGGTGCTTACTGCGGTGTTCTGCCGAGACACTCTCTCTCTCTCTCTCTCTCTCTCTCTCTCTCTCTCTCTCTCTCTCTCTCTCTCTCTCTCTCTCTCTCTCTCTATCTATCTATCTATCTCTATCTCTCTATCTTTCTCTCTCTATCTCACTCTCTCTCTATCTCTCTCTCTTTCTTTTTTTTCTTTCTTTCTTTCTTTCTTTCTTTCTTTCTTTCTTTCTTTCTTTCTTTCTTTCTTTCTTTCTTTCTTTCTCTCTCTCGCCTATCTCACACACACGCACACATGCACACACACACACACACACACACACACACACACACACACACACACACACGCACGCACACACACACACACACACACACAATCTCTCTCTTTCTCTCACACTCACTCACTCATCATCTTCCGGCTGGTCATGTCACCTGTCCTGCCATATCTTTGATCCTTCGTCGCTTGCCTCGCTCGCTCACTTTCGGCAGCTGATGCCCAGCCTGAAGCCATCATCATCGACTGCCTGTTACGACTCTACGGGTTTTATTGCGGTTTGCCTGTGCTGTCGACTGGTGCGGGGTCCTGTCGTCTTGGATTGTACTACTGTATCTGAAGTGTGCGTGTGGGATCATGTACCGCACAGTGCGGCACTGTCCATGCCATTGCATGATCACGCACACAGGCTATGGATGCACGGGTACTATGTGTTATGATTGTATGTGTATCAGTTGTCTGGTGATTGCCGAAGACCATGAAACCAATGGTTGCACCGGGCAAGAAGCGTGATACTCTGCAACTTGTGTGTGTGCATCAGCTCTGGTCTTACGAGCATTGAGCAAAAATGTGTTTATCCTATTGCATGGCCCTGTACTCTAGTGTCCGGCTGTGTGTTCCTGGGCCGATAGTGACCCTGTCCCAGCTGCGGATGCCAAACACCAAGACCTCGACGGCAACGGCAATCCTATTCCATCCAGGGAGGAGGACGGAATTGCGGCCAGTGCTGGGGACGTGCCTGATGGAATCGATGTTGTGGACGTAGGACATCGCCCTGCGGCTGCGCGTGAAGGTGACAAGCGAGCGACGGAAGAGGAATTGACTGATGGAAGTAGTAATTCGCGGGAGAAGCATGCTGAAGCTGTTGTTGCTGCTGCATCTCCGCGATTCCGCACGTTTAAAAGAGGGACAGCGAAGAGATCAATGTCATGCCCTCTCCTGTGCACTAAAGACGGTCGCGTGTGTGTTTCCCTTAAACAAGGTCATGCTTTGCGGCGCAGGGCAGCGTGTTTCTTCGGCGTATGTTATATCGGGCGTGATGCCTGGCTAGGGTGCACACCACCTTCCTCTCACACTCAGGTTGGCCATTGCTTGTGTATGTGTGTGTGTGTGCGTGTGTGTGTGTGTGCGTGTGTGTGTGTGTGCGTGTGCATGTTGGCACATTGGCACGTTGTATTGTCAATGTATCTTTGTACATGTACTGTGCAAGTATTCTGCATGGACGTGTATTGTACTTGAACAGCCATGTGTAGTAATGTGTCTAGCTTTGTATATTGGATGTCACTGTATGTGTTGTGCTACATTCGGTAAAGTTCCATTGACACCCCCCGTCTTCCGCCTTCCTGTCTTCCACCTCCATGTCTGTATGCTACTGTTGATGCGACTTCAGTGTTTTCGTCAAACCACGGTGCATGCACTTCTGTACACTGTACATTCCAGTGTCCGAGATACTACTAGTAGCTCGTTGGCTGGTTTGTGTAGGCTGTGGTATGTATGTGCTGGTTGGTCTGTGCTGGCTGGTATATGCTGGCTGCTTGTTGCTGCTGGGTGGTATAATTATGTTGGCTGCTTGTTGCTGCTGGGTGGTATATGTTGGCTGCTTGTTGCTGCTGGGTGGTATGTGTTGGCTGCTTGTTGCTGCTGGGTGGTATATGTTGGCTGCTTGTTGCTGCTGGGTGGTATATGTTGGCTGCTTGTTGCTGCTGGGTGGTATAATTATGTTGGCTGCTTGTTGCTGCTGGGTGGTATATGTTTGCTGCTTGTTGCTGGCTGGTATAATATACTGTTGGCTGGCTGTTGCTAGGTACTGTATAAGCAGAAATATTCGTCTGGAATTTAATTTCGTCTTTTTCGTCCAAGGAGCTTTTGGACTAAATTAAATGTAGGACGAATATCGATTTGTCCAGCGTTTCTTTACACTCTTATGACCCATGGACGAAATTTTCAACCGGACGAACTCCTTTTCTTTGGAGTTGGACGAAATTATTGACCGACGAAATTTTCTGCCTCTACAGTAGTACATGTTCTATACTGGCTGGTCTGTGTTGCTTGGTCAATGCTGGCTGCTTGGTGCTGGTTGGTCTTTGCTGATTGGTGTGTGTTGGTTGGTCGATGCTGATTGATCTATGCTGACCGGTCTATGTTGGCTGATCTAAGGTGGTTCTTCTATGCAGGTTAATCTATGCTGGCTGGTCTATGCTGGCTGGTCTATGCTGGCTGTAGAATTATTGTGTTGGCTGGTCTCTGCTGGCTGGTCTCTATTGGTTGGTCTGTGTTGGCTGATCTGTTTTGGCTGATCCATGCTGGGTGGCCTATGTCTATGGTCTATGCTGGATGATCTGTGTTGGCTGATCTATGCTGGCTACTAGTCTGTTGGTCTGCATGTCGGCTGGTGTGTGTTGGTTGGTCTCTGCTGGCTGATTTATGCTGGCTGGGCATGACTGTGCTGGCTATGGTGCGGATACGTCACTTGGGTCCACTATCTCATGATATGTATACCTTCGTCATCGACGTCGTTTGGTTGTGCGTTAGAGATGCAGGCCTTTATCACAGTGCAATTCCTGTACCCGACCACTGTGTTTATCCACTCTTGCTGTCAGCCGCTTCGCTCATCAATATTCCCTTGCCCCGCGTTTGGCTGTCAAGCTCTCCTGGCGTTCGCCTGTGTGGTAATTCGGTGTTCGCCTCACATAGTCATCCAACCATCCAGCCAACCAGCCATCCAGACAACCAGCCATCCATTTATCTAGTCATACATCAAGCCGTACACACAATCATGTATCTCTCTCTCTCTCTCTCTCTCTCTCTCTCTCTCTCTCTCTCTCTCTCTCTCTCTCTCTCTCTCTCTCTCTCTCTCACTCACACCCACACACCACACATGCACACAGCACACACATGTAGCCACTAATGTATTGTGCTTTTTTCTTGCTTTGATGTTTGCCGACACACACACACAGGGCGCGGTGGATGCAATTGTGGCCGCCAAGGTGCTCAACCGCGCCGTGTACAACCGCAGTCGCGCATCCAGCGCGGAAACCCCCGATCACTTGACCCCGTCGTCCCATCACAGTGCAGCTGGCAGCGGGGGCGACGCCGATGTCGGCTGTGACAGCATGGTGTCGTCGCGGGCCAGCAGTCCGACGTCGGACGACTGCGACGACATGGAAATCCCGACGGTGGACACGGCACCTGAAGTGCCGTACGAGCACGCGCTCATACGCAGCGCCATCGACGGGCTGGCGTTCCGTGTTTACGGGCACTGGGTGAAGAAAGGCGACCAGCAGAACCGCGCCGCCATGTTCGAGAACCAGCCGAAGAACGTGGCTCAGCGCGTGCGCAGTCGCATGACAGGGGGTGTGATGGCCACGCCACGACAGTCGGCGCGCGCTAGCCCCACGCCGGGTTCCGTGGCGACCGGACGGCCGGCCATCAGCCCGCTGCCGCATATGTGAGCGCTCGCAGCTACGCAGTGTGTACGTGCTGTACGTGCTCGTGTCACAGTGTGTGTGTGTGTGTGTGTGTGTGTGTGTGTGTGTGTGTGTGTGTGTGTGTGTGTGTTGTGGTAAGACCTGTTCCTGGCCGATGCGCGCCAGGTACCGCTGGTCGCGCATCCTTGACTGCAATGTCCACGCCGAATGAAACGCTTCCCTGGAGCCGGCCGCCGTCTGAAAACACTGTGAGCACATTGTGCTGGTTGTTTGCTGATGGCGTACCTCGACTGCTCCTCTCTCTTCATGTCGTGTAAGCTACAGCGCCATTACTGTGTTATCTTGACGGGTACGGCGCGTGCAGTAATACGCCGTGAGACGTGTTCCCGGAAGTCATTGAGTGGAATTGATGACTGGCCTTCAAGATGCCGTAAAGCATCATGGCCTACATGTGTAAGTCCCCGCGTTGAATGATCTTCATCAGTTGAGATCTGTGTCTGTCTCAAATGCGTGGTTTGGTCCTCCAGGCTTGAGCTTGTCCGCTGTTTGCTGCATTAAAAAATTGTTGAAGCACAATAGAGTTGCTGAACACGCTGGTGCTGTCGCTGCCAGCCTAGGTCATTTAGTGTGTGTGTGTGTGTGTGTGTGTGTGTGTGTGTGTGTGTGTGTGTGTGTGTGTGTGCGCGTGTGTGTGCGCGTGTGTGTGTGTGTGTGTGCGCACGCCTGTATGTAGGATTTTAGGAGCGCTGCTCTTTTTTTTAATGGTGTGGCAGTGCTGTGTGCGAGAGTCATTTCACCCCCATATATCTACCGGTTTATTCGCTTTTCAAAGATCTATACTCTGCTGCTCTTATCACTGTATTTGGTATTTACTCTGCTGAATATTTCCCGGCTGAACCTGCCCATTCGCACACTGAACTATCTCGGAATGCTCCATGGGCTGGCATCTCCGCTTCACTGGCTGCTTGCGCTTGTCCGCTGTTCTATAGCCGACCTATCATGACAATGCCGCGCACACATGCACAGCCTCTATTATTAAGTTACCCTCTAACTTATGTTTTAAACCATCTGCTCACCTCTCAGCATCCCACCGAGTGTTTTATATTCTTCCTTTATACCGTCTGATCTCGGAAATCCGTTCCGAAATGCGGTCGGAATTCGGAGGTTCCTCCGTATAGGCTTACCGCATGCAACGTATTGTACAAAGCTTCTCTGTGTCAGCCAATGTTCTGTTGCTCGAGTGCACGTTCGCTGCTACTGCTGTTACCGGTGTTAGCATGCTGTATTATGCTACAGGCTGTTGGTGTTTGTTTCTTTCGCTACCTACACTGTAACACCACTCTGCAGTGACACTGACTTGGCAGCAGCCACATTTTGAGGATCACGACCAGGTTGAGCTTGATAATTTGTGTCATTCAGCTGCTTTATTTTTTACCGGTATTTAAAAAAAATGTCATGCCCTGCATGTTTTTACTGCTCTTTTAACTCTTTTTTACCGTCTTTCTTCTGTCGGTGCTGCCAAATTATGGTATTTTGATCAGGATATTCTTCTGTGACTTGAAAATCTCTTTCTTCCATTCCGCATGGGGCTCAATACCGCAATTTGTGTTGGTGTGCTTGTGTGCGTGTACTCGCGGCTTGTGTGCATGTACTCGCGTCCCGGCATGTATTTTTTGTATTGTATTGCTTTTATTAATTTTTACATCGCAAGTCAAACGGGCAATCATGCCCAATGTTACGATCACGATGGAAAGGGAGGAAAGAGTAAGAACAAGATTAGATAACCTTCAATGGACGTGGAAATTGAGTTGTCCTAGGGCATGCAGGACAACTAGTAGAAGGGAATGCACGGCTGTGAGATTCCGAAGTGCATGTATTTTGTGGGTTACGGACAAAAGCTGGGAGTAGAACAGTACTGTGCCACTAGTGCAAATGGTCATGGCATCACATCTCTGTATGTCTCTGTCTCTCTCTCCCTCCCTCCCTCTCTCTCTCTCTCTCTCTCTCTCTCTCTCTGTCTCTCTGTCTCTCTGTCTCTCTCTCTCTCTGTTTGTCTGTCTCTCCCTGCTTCACGCTGTTTATGAACATAAAGGAAATGTAGACAATTCAGAAAGCACACAAATTCACCACTCCAGACTTCTTGGGAGCAACTTGGCGCGAGGGGAGGCGCAGTACATCAGCAGCAGTTGCCAGAGAAGAAAGCACAGAAACTACTCCAGGTGCACCAGGGAAAGGGAGGGGGATTGCTGAGTGGAAAGTTACCAAATCAGGCCGGGCCGCAAGCAGCCGTCGGCTAGTACTAGTAGTACCTGTGTCATACACACTGATAACGCTAAGCTAACTTCCTGGAGCTGCAGCGGAACTACCATAGGCTATATAGCAACCACTAACTACTGGAACAAAAAGGATACTGCACGCACCGCAAGTTTCACTGCTCAGGTCAGTCCATACGTGAGAAAGTAGCAAAGAATAAATACCAGTACGAGATCGTGGAAGAGAATGAGCGATGAGTGCCCCCAGTGATTGGTGTGATTCGGCGGTGGGGCGCGCACGTGCACACATACACACACACACACAGGCACGCGCGGGTATAGCAGTTATTCAGCCTCGGCTTGAGATGACCGACACGTTATGAGACACCTCATTCAAACTACACGCATGCCTTCCAACACACGATCGTGTGCGCACCCGTTACAGCACGCAGCCGCACGGATCTGAGCACATACGGACGGAGGCCTGGCATTGCCCGGTCGGCGCTACCAGCTGCCAAAGCAAACAGAGGCCGTGCGGCCACCACAGCAGCATTCTTCTCACTGCCGGCTCTAGCAGGACGAGAGAGGGGCAGAGAGCTTGGTTGGGGAGACTTGCCCGTCTCCAGAACCCATAGACGGCAATACTGTACCGAACTACCACAGCAGACTAGCAGGCAGCTAGCACAGCTAGAGTGGAATCACAGCCCTGGGTATGAGGTAGAATGATGGTTGCCGTGTGAACATGGTCCAGGCATTAGCAACAGCACAGTCAGCAGAGATAGCACGTAGCATTGCTCATCTCATGAAGTGGTCGATCGCGGCGGAAAAGGCCGCAAACCCTGCACAGCCCATGACGCCAGGCTTGACGCCAGCTGCAGATGACGACAGCGCGTGCATCAAGGTGTGCACACACATACACACACATGTGCACACGTTTGCATGCACACACACACGTACACACACACAGATTACATCATCGGTTTCTTTCACCACTAGGGCCCAGATAATTTTTCACTGTCCTGCGGCTGTGCTCAATGAAATACTTGCACTCACGCATACTGTAGAACAGCTAATTTTAGCGGGTACAATGTTTAGGGTTTTGTAAATCAGGACCAATTTGCGATCAAATATTTTAGCGATCTGGGCTTTAAGAGAAGAAACGAAAGGTGAATAGTACTGTACTTGCAAAATTTCGATTGGTGCGGCAAAACCTGAGCGAAAGCACTCCTTTCGCTAAAATAGCGAAAATATCACCGGCGCTAAATTAGCTGCTTTGCAGTAGCTGTCATCAAATAGTGCACAATTCCAAGAGCGTGCAACTCCGGTCTACGGGGTCTGCGACGGCAGAACTTCACATCACATGACAAAACCCGTCACACAACCTGCACCCTGCACACGATGGTTGACTCAAGAACTGGTCTAACTCACCTCGGAGGCCTAATGCTCCACCGACAACGCAGCCACATACCACACTGTTCGCTGAGCCAGTGCGACCTTGATACTGTGCAACAGAATATGCAATGCACGCACGCACACACATACACCCACCCACACACACAAACGCACATCCCCACACACCAAGACACACACACACAGGCACAAACAGATGCACGTGCACACACCCACACACATCAATCTCCTAATAAGGAGCAACATAAGGCTCACACTGGCATAAACTCTTCCTAAAGCATAGGTTGAACCAAGGATACATCCTGGCACAAGAGCTACAGTTATCCCCCCGATATCCGTCAAAGAAGGGGGTACGGCTCAAGCAAGATTCACAATTATCACTCTCCGCGATGTGATGTGCGACACATGTGACAAGGAGACGCCTGTCACACGTGTGCATGCTCAATGTAGATACATCCGCCCTTGTCATGTCCTACAGTGGACTCCTGCGTGGCTTGCAGGCCAACCACAACTATCAGCACAACCATCAGCAGTACCACCAACAGCAGCAGCAGTACCACCGGCACCAGCACCATCATTACCACCATCAGCAGCACCACCATCAGCAGCAGCACAAATACCACCACCATCAGCAGCAGCACACCATCAGCAGCACCACCATCAGCAGCAGCACAAACACCACCACCATCACCAGCAGCACACCATCAGCAGCACCACCATCAGCAGCAGCACAAACACCACCACCATCACCAGCAGCAGCACCACCACCAGGACCCCCACCAACACCAGCACCAGCAGCACACCTCCCAGCACCATCACCACCACCACTCAACAAGTCCCCCGCACATCCCACCACCATCATTGTCACCTACCGATTCCAGCATACACTCTGTTCCGGAAAACATGGCTCCGATAGCACCGAAGCTCTTGCCATAACCCATGCTCCGTTTTCCAATCTCCTTGGCCGTTTGTTTGACCGTCATCGGTTTAGCTTGCGGACCCACGGTGCCCGACATAGGCTCACCGGCAATGGCAGGGTCCAGCATTGACGTGAAAATGCCAAGAGCGATGCCAAGGCCGAATCCTGTACGCACACACACACACACACACACCCAAGCACATATGTACCACACACACACACACACACACAGACACACACAGACACACACACAGACACATGTGAACACCATGTACCATCATACGCCCGTCGCAATGTACCCCGTCGCAAGAGAAGCACGCAAATCTGCAAATGCACTGGATGTGCACCCACAGATTTTCTCTTATAGCAACGATAGCGGACAAGATCTGAATGAGACAGGTCAAGACTAGCGCCAGATACACACGCACACACACACAGCCCGCTGTGCCAAAGACGAAGACCCGTGATGCACGATGCAATGCGCCACCAATTTCCCAAGATCATTATTATTATGACCTGATCGGAGGTCGGGGAGGCGGGGGGGGGGGGGGGGGGGGGGGGGCAACATGTATGAGCCAATGTGTAGTAGGTGTGCTGTAAACCGCCTAATGTCCGCGTCGCCAACTATTAACGATTTCTTGAACAGGCAGCTTGACGATGACAAGTGTTCGAGGAGCACCGTGGCCGCACACAAACACCCACTGTTGAAGTTTGACTTCACGCCGCTTATATATTCGCGCTCGCATCTTTCTCGCGAAAATAAGGAACATTGATGAACAAGTTGCGCACATTAGCCAGTTTATGTGTGCGTGTGTGCGTGCGTGTGTGTGTGTGTGTGTGTGTAGGCAATGTGGTCATACTCATGTGTACAATGTACATGCACAGTGTATGTGATGTACGTAAGGGGTAGAGAATAGGCACACAATGTTACAGAGCCGTGCATGCTAGGAACACGTCAATATTATTTACGTTCCCGTCCCTTTTCATTTCCGCAAACTGATAAATAATTTACGCTATCATGGAGTCTGCGAGTACTAGTACTTGAAAAGTTTCTCATTTAAAATTATTAAAAAAAAATCTGATCTGTAGTCTCTTACCCATTGCTCCGCTCATGCCCGTCTTGAATGCGCACCCCTCGATGAAACTCTCCATGTTTACCTGCATCTGCGGCTTCCCCGCGACCAGTGCTCCGGCCCAGCTGTTTGGCTGCACGAAGCGCTGGCCACCATCCAGGCGTCCGCTGCGGACGTTCTCCAAGACTCTCAAGTACATGTCGTCCTGGGCCGATGGCGAAGAGGAAGCCTCACCGACAGTTTGTCGCGGACCCTCTACGCCAGAATTTCTAGAACTAGGAAACATGGCTAGTGAACCGTTACAGGTAAGGCTTCCAATACAAGCGAAGTAAAGTTGTTGAGATAATTGACTGACTGAACGGTTGAAGTCGTTGAACAAAATGAGACGATCGCATCGAGAACAGAAAAATTGAAATACCTTTGAACTACAAAAAAATGTGAACAGCATTATGCAATGTTCGCCATTGACGTCATTATTGCAAAGGCCATGACGTAACCTAAAACACTTGACACGTGACGTAAATGTAGTCACGTGAACACCTAGGATGAATAACACCAAGAGTCTACCATTAGGCCACCCTTTGTTAATTCATTGTTTAACGTCCTTTTTTTCGCGAAAAGGTACGCGGGAGGGCGGAAAAAAAACAAAAGCCCATTCCAAAAACTGGAAACCCCAATCAAACATTTTGACCAGTAAAGCATGTGATATATACAATATTTCTGGGTCTAACGGCACTTTCAAGCATAGAACAACACTCTTTGATGGTACATTGGAGCACATGCCTGATGAATCCAACAAAACAGGTACATACCATGGAGTTAGCATGTCATGAATTCATTACATCTGGATTTTTACTAGGGCACACACACACCGTACGATATTTAAAAGCCAACAAAAAAAGAAAAAGAACACAAGACAAAGGCATGCCCGGGAGGCAAGATTAGAAGTTTAAGGTCATGATCGGCACACTGTGAAACTACACAATCATGTATTTTACAACTTCGCATATTATTGGTACTACTACTTTCTTGTGTTTTTTTTCGGTCGTAGGCAAAAAGATACGCGGGCACGGACGTTAAACAACGAAAAAAGAAAGGGTGGCCTTACTGGCATTAGCAAGAGTACATAACATAACTACACACACACTGTGTAGTTATGTACTCTTGATAACACTGGTTACTGGGAGCAATCGTTTTCCACGAAGTCACCAGGTCACCGGGAAGGAATCGATGGTGCTGGCAGCTGCTGACTGTAGTTTTCAAGTAGGGCTCAGATGAATGGCCGGCATGGCCGTAGTGAGAGGAGGTCGATTTTGCAGGATGTAATACAGAACTGGTTCCAGCGCGAGATAAAGCGTGCGATGTTCGACATGATCCTTCTATCCTTTTCAACAAATTCAAGTCGCTCTGCCTGAAACAGTGACTCAAGTTACAGCACACGTCTAGACTAGAGTCCGCCCAGACGAGCAGCGAGTAGATTCTACTCGAGTCCAAGATCGAAGAGTGTAACAAAATAAATGGATAAGCGGTGCAGTGACTTGCTTTCCCTAAAAGTAGTGCTTTGTCTCCTTTAGAAGGTGCACGCGCAATGACCTTTGCCCTTTGACCTCAGTCCTTTCCTTTGCATTCCGTCTGATCAGTGCACTCATGAGCCATCATGGATCGTGCATGGTCATTCTGCACCTAGCTTTCTCAGCAAACAATAAGAATTATGACGGGTTCGTGGTCTAAACATCGGCCTCCTCGGACGCGCATGCGCACAGCAATCAGTGTAGCCCTCGGGTCTCAGCCCGGGCAGGCTTCGAATGCGACGCCCTGTCGCAAACAGATCTGGCAACACTCGCGTATCAGGCTTGGCTTGAGTTGAGGAAATAGTTGAAGCAACTTGTACTTGAATTCTGAGAATCGTCGTTTCTTGTTTACAAAAGAAGGTTTGCCTGTCTTCCCACTTCAGTATAAACTCAGTGCAAGAGTCTCGAAACAATTATGTTATTTCGATTCAGCATTCGTGCGTGAATGTAGTTGAAGGAGCGAGAGCTTACTACAGCGTCGATCAACGAACGGGCGGAAGGCCCCATCCGATTTTCCACTGCTACACAATAACTCGGACATTGGTGCTCAACGGAGAACAAGGTAAGGAGACTGCTGCAGCATGGTTTTACTCTCCTCCGGCGAAGACGACCGCTGAAGCCAGGGTCAGGAAAGTCCGGGGAAAGATCCCGTTGAGACGTCTCCGGGGTTACGGGCGACTCTCCACGCACGGAAATCCGAGGCTCCTTCCGAATATAATGCTCTGGTCGTCAAAGTCTTCTCAGCGAACACTAGTGCAGGGTTTTGGGAATGAAATGTAGCGCCGCTTCAGTGTAGATAAAATTCCGAGGTGACAATTCACGATCGTTCTTGACTACGGCACTGCCGACTGTACCGGCTTACCGTCATGCATTTCTCTTTGTAGCGAAAATGAAGGGCTGAAGTGCTACTTGTCGAAAGGGACTAAAGTATGGAAGTTTTTTTGTATTTCACCTCGATATGAGTTCAGCCAGATAGCAAACTGATAGCTCCCGCAGAATCGCTAAAACCTAGCTGTTAATTTTAAATTCAACAGGAAGGACATTGTTTATGGCCCTGTGCATTTGTCCAAGGCCTGGCATAGAGTTTGAGTGCGATACCAAGATAATAGTCATACAGTGGAACTCGGATAAGATGCACCCCATAGGCATAGGCAGCAGGAACCATGTACCGTACTTAGGTTGTGTTTGGTTGGTCAAATTCCACAATGGGAATCACTGGGAATCATTCCAGCCCGTTTGTTTGGTCACGCCACGGTCTCTACGGTATACTAATGACCGTACCGCTCTTTCTCCAAATGTCCCAAACTGTGACGCAATAAAAAGCACTGATTTGGGCTCTAAATTTCGAAAGTTTTCCGAGTAGCCACCCCAAAATCCACAGGTGAATTATACTTCAGGTGGCTGACCCTAAAACACCTCCCGACGCCCCTAACTCCAGTAAGGGGTCAATACTAGGGACCGGCGGATTCTGCTCGAAAAGGTGGCAGATTCTGCTCGAAAAGCAGTGAAATTAGCAGCACCATACAAACCTTATGGCGGGCAATTCCTCGAATTCTGCTCCATTTTTTTATCCACATACCAAACATGCATGAAACTTACCAGAAAAAGTACCGAATTCTGCCAATTTTTCTGCTGGCAGAATCCGCCGTACCCAAGTCAATACACCCGTGTCCTGTACAGTGACAGTACTAAGCAAGCGCATGCCTTATCCAAGTACCGTACTAAGACACAGTGCACTCCACTGTACATGCAGCTGTATCCGTGACCTACCCGTAGAACACGAAGCAACGGTTTAGAGGTGTTGCGCAGCGTTCCCTACAGTCCATTCAGTTGAAACTGGCACTCTAACTTTTTTTGATTTACGTCTTAGTACCGTATTTCCCCCGAATGTAAGTTGCACGTTTTTACACTATACTTCAAAAGCAAAGAAGGGGGTGCGACTTACAATCCAGTGTGACTTCCTACTCATCTGACTGTATTGATACAATTTGGTTCAGACCTAAAAAAATGGGTTGCGACTTATAATCAAGTGCAACTTATAATCGGGGAAATACGGTAGATGCAATAGGACAGCTGAACATTCGATGTTGAGACAGTAATTGTACCACAGTAATGGGCGTTATTTTAAGGCTGAAGACACTACCAGGGACTTAACAGCGGTCTTTTTAGGACTGCTGTTATGTCCCTGGCAGTATCTTCATTAAAATGATCTCTGTTCATTCCAGAAATCGGGTCCCAGGCACCAGTCGAGCGTGATTTGCAATAAGCTATAGTTGGACCGGTAGTTAAAAGACCGGCTCGGCGTGATGCGTACAGGTCCCATCGGGTGACCCGTACAACTCATTCCACTACAGGGGGATGTCATTGGTGTTTCTGAGGAGCCGCGGCCAATCAACTATTGCCCAGCTTGAGGCCCATAGATAGAGTCCTATCGGAGTGTTTCATCTTAAAAAAAAATTTACTTCAGAAGTACGAAGATCACAACCCTGGCTTGGGACAAACTTTATAGCAAGAAAAATAACAAAGTTGCAGGGAGGACAAATATACGACTAGAACACAGAAGTTGAGGATTGACAGAACAAACAACTATGGAATCGGGGCTGACTATCAACTAGTGCAGCTGTGCAGGTGGGGCATTGTGAACTCCACCAACCAAAATGTTTGACAAGTCTCAACTGTCGCAGCCCAGCATGGGCAACAGCCAGCCATCCTGTAGGACGCTGTCCCCACTTTTGTCTCCCCTCTTTTCGTGCGTTCTGTGCCGTGTCGTGATTTGCAGGGGACAGGGGCGCAATGCCACCCTTGGCATGGGCGCTGTTGTGCCTGATGGTTTGCCAGTGGAGTGCACCCAGCTCAGGTATGTACTTGTGTACACCCGAGTCTGTTGCAATGATCTCGGTGATGCCTGAAGAATCCAGGCAATACTGGCCCCATTCCGATATTTTCTCTCTTCCTAGTGTTTCTCAGGACGAACCTACAGTTCCGCTCACTGAAATCCGATCCAAAGTGCAAAGCTGGCACCCTGGCACTGTTCCTATTACAACATTGTTGGTGTACACGACTTTGTGTACGTTCAGCCGCATTCGTGCCACTTCCAGGGCGTCAAGGGCCGTGCACGATGAGGGCGTCAAGGGCCGTGCACGATGAGGGCGCCAAACACGCATTCTGGGTCGGATTTCACGGAGCGCAACTGAAGATGCATGCATGCGTGTGTGTGTGTGTGTGTGTGTGTGTGCGTGCGTGCGTGCGTGCGTGCGTGCGTGCGTGCGTGCGTGCGTGCGTGCGTGCGTGCGTGCGTGCGTGCGTGCGTGCGTGCGTGCGTGCGTGCGTGCGTGTGTCTGTGTCTGTGTGTGTGTGTGAGGTCGAGAGGTCAAAAGGTCAAAGGCCAAAGGTCAAATGTGCGTGTGGTACATTGTGTGTGAGTGTGTGTGTGTGTATGTGTGTGTGTGTGTGTGTGTGTGTGTTTGAGGGAAACCCATCAGTGCACCCGTGTGCATTCTTGTTGTATCGTCTTGCTCACCAATGTGTCAACTTAAAGCTGGCAAATTATTGTGTTCTCCTTTCCAAAATCGGAGCTGATGCAACTCTTGGTCGAGTGACATGTAGAATGTCGAAGAACCAGCTAATCCTTCCCCCACCCTCTGCCACAGGTTCCATTTGTCTAATGCCGTAACATTTTGTTTGCGGTGGGAAGAGGTTCATAATAAAACTAAGATTTGCATTACACCAAATTTCCGGGCCTTGCCCATCATCATCAGGTTATCGTCATCATGTTGAAACAAATTAATATTGGCAGCTAAAACATCAATCCATTCTAGCTGCCAAGCCAATATACTTCAGGGCGTCAGACACGGTACAGTCACTATGGTATTGACCCTACCACTTTTGACCCCAGTCACCCCGTGAATCAATAAAACACCTGGGCCTTGGGTCTAAATTTCCAAATTTTTCGTCTCAGCAACCACTCTCCCACAAGTAAATTGTATTTCAGATGGCTGGCCGTACCACACTAGAATACGTTCCGATGCCACTGTGCTTAGAGTGTTGAATTGACTGTCTTGGACTGAAGGCTAGGCATTCTCCCTTTGGCCTCTTTTGTTTCAGGCAACATGGAGTTTGTTTGTCCGTCTGGAAACGGATGGCTGTTCATGCCCACGACGGACAACGTTACCGTAGATGCCGCTGAGTCCCTCTGTCTGTCCAAACATGCCAAGCTGCCTGACGATGACGTCTGCATTGGCAAGCTAGCAGCGAAGGTCTCGCCAAGTCTAGGTTACAGGCCAAGGATCTGGCGGCATAGTACAGCACCATCCGGAGAGAAACTGTCTGCCACTGACAGCACGAAAAATTCACAAGATTTGAAGCAGCACGTAGCCTGCTTTACAGATCTCGGTGAGCTCAACCATGTTCCGGACATTTGTGTCTGGTAGCACACATGAACTAAAATGGCATACGTCCCTCAATTTGTTGTGGTAATGGTAGTATTCAGTCATAGGTTTGTGTTCTCTATGCAACCTTTTACAGTATGTGTGCCTATGTGTATGCGCGCGCACACACATGTGTGTGTGTGTGTGTGTGTGTGTGTGTGTGTGTGTGTGCGTGTGCGTGTGCATGTGTGTATATATGTGTGTGTGTGTGTGTGTGTGTGTGTGTGTGTGTGTGTGTGTGTGTGTGTGTGTGTGTGTGTGTGTGTGTGTGTGTGTGTGTGCGTGTGTGTGCGTGTGGGTGTGGGTGTCTTTATAATTATGTGCATTGGTGTGTGTGTGTGTGTGTTTGTTTGTGTGTGTGCCCGCGCGTGTGCGAGAGTGCGTGCATGCGTGTTTGTGTGCGTGCATGTGTGTGTGTGTATGTGTGTGTGTGTGTGTGTGTGTGTGTGTGTGTGTGTGTGTGTGTGTGTGTGTATGTCTTTTGAGTGTGTGTGTGTGTGTGTACTAAAACATTTCGCGGAGAGGAAGCAGATTTGTTAGCTCCTGGTTTTCTCTTTGGTGGCCTCCTCCACGGGGCGGCCTTGGCCTTCTGGTCAGGGTCGCCCCTGGGTATTGACTGGCAGTAGGCTTTTTATGCCTTGCAGCCGGTTTCGCTCGCGCGGAAGGACATTCAGTGAGCTGACGACCAGGGCGGGTAATTTGTTGCCGTCACCGTCTTCTTGTGTCCTTTCCGCATCCTCCGCAGTGGCGTGGCGAGCCCTCGGATCAATCCCCAGCCTGAAACAATGCAGTGGCGTTCGGCAAAACAAGTGGATTCCTGGATGAGAAAGGATACAGGTCACACTCGCAACAATTTATTCCTGCGCGGTGATAGCTGGAATTGTGAATTTGTCGTGTTGTTTGGACCTGAGTGGCCAGTCGTCGTGCGGCGATGGTGTAGTGATGTTAGCTTGCTGCGCATACTCCTCGTCGCTTCGTGAAAGTACGTCTTGTGGAGCCCTTGTGGGACGTTCGGTGCCCACCCTCCAGCTCAAGATTGTGCTTTCCTGGTGCATGAAGGCCGAAGCAGTACGCGTACAGACGTTATTGTTGAACAGAACATCATGTTCACATTAATTTTGTTCCTTTTTTCAGTCGTTGCATGTTATAGTGGACCTACAGCAGACTGTTCATCTGGTTTGTGATATTTCCTTCCTCTGTTTGTGAGTCCCTTTCCATCAATATGGCAGCTTGTTTTGATTTCCTTTTTTTCAATTCATTTTGCTGTACTTCCTGTTTTGTTTGCGCCACTGCCCCTCACCTTGCGCTCAGTTCTCTTAGTGGAGGGCGGCGTGACCCCAATGGGTAGCTGATGGATAGTAATAGTAGTATGTATGTGTGTGTGCATGCATGTGCGTGCATGTGTATTGCTTGTCTTATTACACATTAGCAGCCTGTTCATTTTTAGTACTATAGTGCATGATAAATCACAGACGAGCATCACACGTTGGATACCAAGGCCGGAAGGCGCGTAGCGCGCATGGGGTAATGGGGGGGGGGGGGGGCATGTGCATCTCCTAAAAACTTTCAACCTAAGTTCAGCATGCACGTAATGGCCATCAATGACATGCACCAGCCATCCTACACATATGCGGCCGTGTACCCCCTAAAAGGGGGACCAACTACTCCCCTTGGCCGTGATCGTTTGGTCGGATCCAGATCCAGGTCCATAGGATCCACTGGATCTGCAGTGGTCGATTGGTCAAATCCCAACCCAGGTACATCGGACTTGGATCCGAGCAACCCTGCCCCGGCAGCAGGGTTGAATGGATCCAGCGGATTCATTCTTGCCAAACAAGGCATTTGTACGTGTTTGGCGTGCAACAATCATGTGTACTGTTCTTCCCCTTTTTCTGTGCACCCTCTCACAGGTGTGAATGGTTGCGTGGCTGATAAGGATTGTCCATCAGATTACAAATGCCTGAAGGCGGTGAAGCATGGCGGAAAGAATAGCTGCGCAAGTAAGTTCGGCCATTTCGTTTTGTTTTATTTCATTTTGCTTCCTCCAATGGCACATCTCACTGTACCTGTCTACATGTGGTTGTCTGCTTGTACATGCAAACGCAGGCGCACTTGCTTTCATGCAGCCTTAACCCTTTGAGGACGAAGGATGAGTATAGGGGGAATGAAGTTGAAAACATCACTGCAGCTGTACTTAGGGTTGATAAATATGGTGGTAAAGACACACCTGGCAATATGGCGGTAAACACACGCCTGCCCACACACGCTCTCCAGGCTGCAAAGTTCTGGCACAGAGCTCTCCTTCTCACCACCACCACCATCAGTTCGCGCCTGGCGCCTGGTCGATGCATGGCTGGCGGTATCCGGCATAGCAGGCTGGTACATCAAGTAGCGCATGGCACATAGATGATGACACAGCAACGACATAGCTCGATTGCGACGTACGTTTCGTCCCCGCTGGCCTCATCAGGCAATCTTCTTCTTGGATGTCTTCATACGGAGCTTGACTCGGGAGAATGAAGTTGAAAACATCACTGCAGCTGTACTTATGGTTGATAGTGGTGAGAAGGAGAGCTCTGTGCCAGAACTTTGCAGTTTAGAGAGCGTGTGTGGGCAGGCGTGTGTTTACCGCCATATTGCCAGGTGTGTCTTTACCACCATATTTATCAAGGATGAGTATACTCGGTTTTTTTAGTGCACCTGGATTCCTGAAAACCAGTATACTGATATGTCCAATAGTCTTACTGGTTTCATCATCATCCAGTAACTTTCGGCATTCTTTGTCTTGCGAAGCGTGAAACAAACCCCCCCCCCCAAAAATGCAGGCACTGTCTCTGCAAATGTCCCTTCATGTTCATCGAATTTTAGAATATTTAATTGCCAGCGCTTTATGATTTCATTCAGTTGCTGATGAAATTCATTTGCACCACCCTCGGGATTGCCGTGGGACATAGCTCGTGACCTTCTTCGTTGCATTTTCCTTCCCCTCTTGGACCTTTCCTAACCTGAGCCTACCAAGTTGGACATTTGTTGGCTGTTGTGAAACCAAACACAGTTTTGTCATTGCCTTCTCCCCCTGGCCCCCGCCACACGACGAAGCACAGATCTGTTAGCTTCTCACACGTAGTCCTCACAATATTAGACTTGTAGGAGCAGGAGGAGAAAGACGGAAAGACTAAACTAAACCAAAAACGACGACGGGAAAAGACACCGAGAAATAACAAAGAACAAACAGTTATGACGCAAGGACAAATCGTGAAGACCTCCCAGGGACCAATACGTACAGAACACATGACCAAGACCAAACAGCCAGACCACGAACGAATCGCACATCACTCTCCTTCCCAGACCAAACTAGCACTGCGCATGTACAGCATTCACTTGACAGTCATTCTCACACAGATGGAAGCAGAGGGAGGAAGGGAGGGAGGGGGGGGGGAGAGAGAGAGAGAGAGAGAGAGAGAGAGAGAGAGAGAGAGAGAGAGAGAGAGAGAGAGAGAGAGAGAGAGGGAGGGAGGGAGGGAGGGAGGGAGGGAGGGATGGAGGGAGGGAGGGAGGGAGAGGGAGAGAGAGGGAAATTACTTTTCTTCTCTATGTCTGTTGATCATGTTTCAGTTCAGGACGAGAATGTACGCTATTTGTTTATTGTCTTTGTGCACAGGTAACCTATTTCCATCAGTTTTTGGTAAGACCATGATGTGCACTGTCGATTTTTACGAACTTCTCAGAATTTACATTAAAGGGGAAGTATACCCTAAAATCAAATTTTCACCAGTTGTAGTCTTCGGGGTGCTGAGTCGAATGGTCTTGGTCCGAGGAAGCTGAGACGCTCCCTTCCTACTTGAATCCCAATCGAACTCGCGCACTTCCACCGAAACTGGGTGACTGCGCCCTACTAGATGGGGATTTGTATGCAAAATGTCACTAAAAGCGCCATTTCGTTCTTATAAAAGCACGGATGACCGCGATTGGCCCATATGTTGTAGTCTTTTGGACGCTGAGTCGACTGGTTTTGGTCCGAAAAGGCTGCGATGCAGCGTTCCTCCTTTATTCCCAATCGAACATGGTTGAACAAGCGGTCACGTACTCCTGCGTACACCAGTCACCTGGTCACCGTGCCTGCAGGGTACAACTTACTAGCCTGTTTGACCTTTTTTGGGTGCAGTCCTGTCACTCGAGTTGAACTCGAGTTGAACCTTGGTGTGAAAGTTGTCGCCTGCTGGCGCGGACACCAGGTGATTTGGGCAGCCAGGACCACGTGACCGCTTCTTCAACCATGTTCGATTGGGAATAAAGGAGGAACGCTGCATCGCAGCCTTTTCGGACCAAAACCAGTCGACTCAGCGTCCAAAAGACTACAACATATGGGCCAATCGCGGTCATCCGTGCTTTTATAAGAACGAAATGGCGCTTTTAGTGAGATTTTGCATACAAATCCCCATCTAGTAGGGCGCAGTCACCCAGTTTCGGTGGAAGTGCGCGAGTTCGATTGGGATTCAAGTAGGAAGGGAGCGTCGCAGCTTCCTCGGACCAAGACCATTCGACTCAGCACCCCGAAGACTACAACTGGTGAAAATTTGATTTAAGGGTATACTTCCCCTTTAACCCTTTGCCGGTCTAACTCAATGTATGTGAGGGGCGGTCACGCAAATACATGTACACACAACCAGCAATAACTCAAGAACCATGTGATGTAGGTATGGGTAAACCATATATGTTGGACTCAGTAGAGCGTCCAGCCCCTATATGATGTCCAACTCCTATATAGAGGCCATTGGTCCAAAATCCACTGTACAGAGTCCAAAATTGGAATCAACTGTGAGCTCAGTTTAGATGGACATCACTCCCTGTATAGAGTCCAGCCAATTGGCTTCACCCCTATATAGAGTCCATTGGTCCAAAATCAACTGTACGGAGTCCAAATTTTGAAATCAACTATAAAGATTAAAGAGTCTTTATGTGGACAACACTCCCTGTATAAAGTCCAGCCAATTAGGCATCCCCTATCGAGTTCGAAATTAGACATAGGATCTGCTGTAAGCATTGAATATTAACCAGAAAACGGCCTCTCCCTTTAATCCTTTACATCATTCACTTCTCAAGATAAAAAATATGTATTGAGGCGCCACTGCAGCCACTTCACTACATGAAAAACCCTACAAACACCATCCTCAAATCAAGTGGTCTCTTCGCAGACGCTGCAAATTACAATATCTCAATCATGCAGTGTTGCCAAATTATTGTGCACGCACACACACACATGCACACACCCACACGTCAGGCGAAATAGCACGTCATCGTACATTTGAGATCAGCGGGAAGAAGATGACGACGTCCACTAATTTAGTATCTGTGCACACGAATCTGCTGTGTGTGTGACTCTGTGTGTCAGCTATGATATCATCTTCTGTGGTTCCATGCCTAGCATGTACGTCTGAACCATCCTGCAAAGTTTGAATGACGTAGGTTGAGCGATCGCTCCGCGAAATATACTTTTTGAAATTCTCTTCATAGTATATCTTCCACCATTGAAATTTCGAATTTCTTCAAAAAAAGTGCTGAGAGGGGTGGCTTGCAACCTCGATATGGCTTGTTCCAGGCATGCTTTGGAGCCATCTTCTGTTGAAGTAGTGGCGGGGATCTGCCCTGCAACTGCTACAACAAAAAATGATTCGATCTGAGAAAGGGTGAGACCGCGAATCTCGGTTGAATATTGAGTATTTCAAGCCTTTTCACGACGAAGATGGAGTTCTTTTTGGAGATGGACGTCGCGGCAAAGGACATCGTGTCCGACGTCTGGCGTCTGGTGAAGCCAGGGATCATTTGTCCAGTCAGGTCGGCAGCCTTACCGTCGGTAAGCTTGTGTTTGGATCCCGTTCTGCTCGATGTGGTAGATCACAAACAATTTGATATCGCACAAATTGATCTCTGCATCGTGCGTACGGTATTTTATATTCAGAAAATCCCAAAGTGTCTCTGTGTGGCCGTCCTATGCCACGAGAAACTCCAATCAGGCTCCTATGTCCTCTGTCTTCATGATTGAATGTCCACTTCGTTTGAACAACGAACACAACAATCGAGGACGGCTTTGCAATGAAAAATACAGCTATACTGGAGCTGAAAAAAGGAAGAAAAAAACGTGCTCAGGATGAGACTCGAGTACACGCATACTCTCCCAGCAGGTGAAACGCAAATTTTTGTGAAAAATGGGTGACGCCGACTGACCAGTAATTTCGCCTGACGCAACGCCAAGAAAATACCTAGAAAAAAAACAAGAATCGAAAGAGAATAATGGAGAGCCCAGGATTAATTATTTGTTTTCAAACTATTGCGCGCGCGCGCGCGCGCACACACACACACACACACACACACACACACACACACACACACACACACACACACACACACACACACACACACACACACACACACACACACACACACACACACACACACACACAAACTTATACAACGCCAAGAAAACACCAAGAAAAGAGTAGAGACACAATACACACGCAACTCCAACAGCGATGCAAACGTCCACCCATTTACACGTAAAGTCAAGAGGGATAACAAATAATTATACGAAACGAATGCATACGGGGACGGGTACACGCACGTTTACATACATGTAGTAGTGTAAGAGAGTAACATAGTGCAGTGGTCAGCATAATACTAGCACATGCTGAGAGTGCAATAGCAAGCTTCACCATTGCTCATGGCCATGCAAATGTTCAGCAGCACTCAGTTCCGCAAGCTTCTGAAGATCAGCACACCTGCAACAAATAGATAGCACAAGGATACGCCTATTAACGTAATGATGCATGGGAGCACACAACTACCAAGTTCTCAACGAATGTGATGCTCAATGAAAATCAATCCACTCAAAGACCTGTGAACAGGTGACGGTGGGGACAATAATCTATTAGTAATACGAGGAATAAGATCGTTTGTGCACACTCAAGACGCACGGACACACCACCATACATGTAGTGTACACAGTGTTTCACTGCAACTACTTCGAAGTAAATTGAAATGAGATGATTTGAACAATCTGTACAGCGTTGCCGTCAGTCAGTCTTCCCCAAGATGGAAATGCAATGATTTGGTGTCACGAGGCAGTTTCACTGACACAATGTCATGTTCGTGACATCAAAACGGTTACTTCAGGGAATACGAGTATTAGCTTGAGAAGCTTTTTCTTGTCATTGGCATACAAGCAATCCTCCTACTACTACTAGTACACTGGCACTGCGTTTGTGGATCCCATTGTATTTGACATCATACTATAATTTGTAGAGGAAGAGTGTCGTGGAGTTTCACATAATTTTCACAGGGATAAAAATACATTTCTCATGAAATAATTATAATAATTGATGATAGCTAGACGATCGTATACGATTGATGCAAAGTCCTTGCAGTCCTTGAGGACTATTACGAAGTGGTTGATTACTTTTAGGGCATTCATTCAAGCAACATCAAACAAACACGATACGCTCCTTGAAAATGGAAACAAATTCAAGCATAACAACAGAACAGCAGACCAATCGAAACAAGTAAAAGCTTCCTTACCTCAGTCATCGTCCTGCCATGTAGTTGGACAGCCTTTTGACACGGTGGTACAGGCAGCTCTTGTCCAGTCAAACAGGGGTATCCTTGTGGCGTCGAACGAAAGAGAATGTCAGTGTATCTGACTCGTCAGATTGGAACTGTGCTGAACCTTTCTCTTTCTCCGCTTTCTGCTTTCATCCCTCGCTCTGATGAAACCGTTCAAACGTCTTACTGGCAGCAATGGCCAGCCAAACAGGGGATCCTTGTGGCGTCGAACGAAAGAGAGTGTCAGTGTACCTGACTCGTCAGATTTGAACTGTGCTGAACTTTTTCTCGTTCTGCAATTTCTGCTTTCATCCCGCGCACTGATGAAACGTCTTCAGAGAACCACAAGACGCTTTCCAGATTTGATTTTGAACGTCTCCTTATCCTCCTTGGTTACCTCGAGACAGATTACTGTCAGCAACTGCACAGCAGAACTGGCAGCCATGGCTGAAGTGAAGAAAGGAATGCGCTGCCACGAGGCAAGCAAAACTGAAAATGTGTTTGTTCTCTTTCGGGCACAACACACAGGACGGCGTGACTGGATAAACTGGACTCCTGGACTGTGAATAGGGGACTTGTAGAAAAAGTGTACTCCTTATAGGGGATTGCGCGGCAGGATGAAGCTGATCAAAACTGAGTGGACTCCTGGACTCTGTATAGTGGATTTTGGACCAATGGACTCTGTTGTGTATCGTGTCGGAGAAAGGTCTTCTGGGGTGTCGTCGAGATCTCGTTGCGACCGTGACTCCTGCTTGTCTCCCTGGCTAGGTGCTGCTTGCTTTGCTTTTTGCGTAGTGTTTTTGATTATTGTTTACTATTGCGTATTGTTAGTGTTCGTTTTGATTTGGTACAATACTTGTTACGAGATACGACACATTGTGTAGTGTGTGTTTGCAGCACGAAGAAGATTGCTCACCAGAACGGTTAGCTCAGGAGCTTGGGCTTACCTTGTGCAATCACAGTTCATCAGCTTGGACATTGCGCTTGGTCCCATGCGAATAACCGACTAGAATAGTAATTATTTCTTCGTTGCATTTTTGAATTGTGTTCTTGCTAGCTCGTTGATTTATTTAGTTGATGTGTTGATTT